AAAGAAGTTAACAAAGACATAAAATGGTTGTTTATAAATATCATCCTCTGTCTCTGTTAATATGAGGTCATAGTTGTTGGATAAGAAGGGCCCCTAAATTTTCTATTAGTGCATTTCTTGGGTTTAGCATTGTTAGGCATGCTGAGTCAAACAATGGTCTGCTATGGCACTTTCCTTCAGTTGTTGTTTGTACAAGGAACAAAAGTACTCTCCTGTCCTAATACTTAAAGGCTACCATACGTTTCCAGTATATATGGCTAGTCACAGATGTTTTATTTCCGTTGAACAATTTTTTAATTCTATACATGGGTATACAGGTAATGTCTTAGTTGGACTTGGACTGTTCTACAACCATAATATATGACCCAATTTCTTGATTGCTTTCTTAAATTTTAGGACATAGTATTATAAGTTCAAGATACCATAAGAATAACCTTACTCCATATGGTTTTCTTTATAGTCCAAGTTTCTAGTTCTTTGTTGCACTATATGAATGTGTATCAGAAAGTTACATAACATTACTATTTCTCTTTATATATTTTTAAAAAATTGTTTTAATTAGGAGAATGTATATTTACTGGTTAAACTTAGGGCCTAGAACTGGTGCTTATAATGGTTTTATTTATCTGTCTCTACTGCAATTTTGATAGTTTCCAATGATTGCAATATTTTAAAGAGATTGAGAGTTGTGTTACATGAAGTAAAAGATACACTTGTTTAATTAGTTAATGAAATAAAGTAATTTGTATTCATTTAGAGTAGCAGAAAGAAAGTTTGTGCTTCTGCTCAGATCAGAACAGTTGAGAAAATTTAATACTAGGATCTAGAACTGAAAAAATTCTGAAATTCAGAGTCCAATAAACCATCTTTGAATCTTAACCTGACGACAGGTACAGTTTTTTTGTTTGCCATTGTTCAAGAGTATTTCAAGAGAACAGTTGCTCATGGTAATACTTTAAAGTTAGGGTAAAGTTTATTGTTAAAACAAAAGAATCTATTGTGATAAATGAGATTTAGGGTGCATTTGATGGTATCCACAGTTAAGCTCTGTAACTTGACACAAAAATCACAAGCAGTGTTAATGTGTTCTCCCCAAGGATATAATAATTCAATATCTTGCATAAACAAATAGTGTTGTTTGCTAAAACACAATTTTCACTTTTAATTTAAAGGCTTGTATGTTCTTCAAATGTTTAGGTACATACAGCAATAAGGGTTCCAAGACAAGCTATCAGTTGCTTCAATTTATAAAGGATGCCAGTTGAGAGGTATATTAGATGGATGACAGTATAAACACCAGTAAACCCATTCCTAATGGCATAACTTGTTTCAAAGCTAACGTGAAAGTTGATCACAGCATGTAAATCCTATGCTATTTCAGAAACCAGTGAAGGAGAATCTGTACTCCATCTACAATCTGTTAAAAAAGCCAGTGAACTACATAGAATTGATAAAAATTGCACAAGTGAAAAAATAAATCACTACTTGCTTGTAACCAATCAATATCCACCTAGAACATTTTCAAATAATACTAAGATAAAGAAGTATATACTGTTTATAAATGTTGTACAACAACCCAACCTAAATCTGAAAATAAGGCTTTCTCAGTACAATTCTATTTAGTCTAACCAACTGAGATTAGTGTGGGTTCATATAGCACGTGTCATGCATTCACTATTATCTACTAACTTAAACATGTCACCAGGCATTCATTGGGAAATACTTAAGATGCCCTGTTTATACAATAACCTGAGGAAAAACACCCTAGCAGACAATGTTTTATCTAATGATGACCGACCCACTTTTCTTCAGATCTTTTTAGTCGCATAAAAATACTGATAAAAAATTTAAAGAAACTACCCTATCATACAACTTTGTCCATTAACCTAGAGATGAAGGATATTTACTATACAAAATTAATTATGTATTTTAATTCAAAATATCCTTACAAACATTTTGATACTTAATTCTAAATCTTTGTATCTCAATAATCTAATTAACTTAAACACAATGTAACATTCAGCAATATATTACTCATTTGAGCATTTATAACTATTTTAAGAATACTCGTATTATGAAATCAGTTTAACCCTCATGCCATCAGTTAAGTTTGAGATTGTGTAGAGCACTAGGAAAGCTCCTTGAGCAAATGTAGCATTTTTACATATGTTTTGTGATAGTTTTCATATATTTAATTACCTAAAAACTATTTTTGCAGCTGACTGAACCCCAGAAATGTTCAAAAGTATCTCACCTTGAAACCAAGAAGAGGAGGTCTTGAACAACTAGTTACAAACTTGAGAAGCTGTCTACGTTCTTTCTCGTCAAACTCTTCAGCCACCTTCCAGAACATTTGAATTACCGGGTGATCAGCTGTATATCCTCCTAACAATAATAAAATAAAATGTATATTATAGTTTTATACCTGGTTGGATTTAAATGTTTACACATCAGTTAAAATTTACTAAATTACTATTAAACCTAAAACAATCTTGATATTTTTTTCTCTAAAAGGGGTATTTGGTTACCCTTTTATAATCCAGAACCTGTCTATACAAGTCATCTTTACAAGCATGGCTGAACATATTTAGTTCCTCCAAAAGTTTTCATTACCTCCTAGACACACCCAATAATAATGCAAGTAATAAGGAAGAATGACCATAAACATAAAACAATTTAATATAGTTTTTACTTAGTAATTTTGTTCAGTTATGTTAAGTTATAAAGATGTCTCATCATCTTAAAATGGACATTCCTACTCTGTAAAGTTGGGGGTTTCTTTCTGTGATTCATTTTAATCAGATTTTCATTGAAATACCTTACCTGAATAATTAGTATTGTTCCTAAGGTCAATTAGATCAATGGGGACATTAGCACCAGATATTAGTATCTGTAGTTCCTTTGGGTCAAACATTCTTAACCATTCCAAGTTGATTACATTTGCCAAACCCTGCTTGAACGCTGCACATTGAGGTCTAATCTATTAGGAGATAAAGTGTATACAATATTTGATTAAGAACCAAACAAACTGCTCCAGAAAAATCTGATAGACAACTTTAAGCAATGAACCACTAATGTAAATATCTACATTAGATATTTAATATGAAGTAACTTGCATTATCAGAAAACTTATTGTACATAAACTCAAACAAATCTTAAGTTAAAAAATGAAAAACCACATTAAAACTCTCACAAAATATAAATTTCCTTTATATCCTAGTTACTGTGTATTCTGCAGGTCCCAAGTTAATATTTTTTTCAGTCTAGAATTCGTATTTTCTTAATGAAATAAGGTGTTTACATTCACACGCTTCAAGGAGGAAATTTTTTTAGCAGAAAAGCAAAGTATTTAATGCCAATTTATCTACCAGAACAAAAATAGGAAAGAAGAGTAGTTGTGACTTGTAGCAGAAACATTGATGACAAGTTTCACATCCTATAACACTGGTCAACAAGTCATTTTCATCAGATATAATTATAGATGGGCTAGATAGCTCTTGGGATGCTGATTACAAATCTTTTTTTTTTGGTTTTCCTCTAGCATGTCAAGTTTTTGTGATGAAACTGATCAAATTTGAAAGTTTATTGCCTTAATTATAATTTAAGTTGTTGTACATTTCTTTTTCCATAAGTATGTACTGTATAGATTTAACTAAGTGTATAGTGTGTATAACATTAACTAGCCTAATGTGTGATTATTACCTAAATTGTGCTGAAATTAATACCTGTCATCATATTTCAATAACTAGATGTTCTAAAAGAAAACCAAAAATAGATTTGGGATCAGTGTGCAAAACTGGTCTAAAAAAGTGTGTTTACATCTTTGATGAGCAAAAAGAGTTTGATTTTGTTGATCAATGTAATTAACAAATATACATGTGAACAAAGAGAAGTGTGAGCATTATCAAACAAAGTACCAAGGATATGGCTGACATCTTTTATCACATATATATATGTGTAGACATACAAAGAGGATAAAGCAGAATATTAGAAAGAACCAGTTACCTAATGGCAGTTATGATATTAACTGAAAAACAAAAATCTGGAGTTGTGATAGGAATTAGGACTTAATGGGGCTCCCTAACTTTAACTCAAACACATGGACAGATTTCATGGAAATATTTATATTAAATGTTTACCTTGACAAAACCTTGAGTCTTTACTGATTCAATCTAATAAACCTAAAATAAACAGAAATAATTTTTATCCTTTGTAATTATTATTTTTTGTTATATTCTGTTTGATAGCTTGAGATTTTTTGTTGCTTAGTCATTGAAATTATTTTTAACATGCATGTAATAACATGTCAATACTTTTGTTAAGTTAGTTTTTAATTGCTGTATGTGTTTTTTTTTTTAGTTATAAGTTTGTGTTTGTATGCAATGCTGTAACTCTTGAGAAAAGCATAAGCTAAAATGTAGGGTTTGAACAAGATCATTTTTCCTGGATGGTCATTAGTTTTTTCTTGTAAACGTGATTTCAATCCTCCAGTCTGCTCTACAAAGTTTAAAAAGTGATATGTTTATATTAAATGCAAGAAGAAATATACTATAGCAATTACAAAAGCTATCACCTGAATGCAAGTGCAAGATTTCTCAAAAACAAGGAATTAATCATAAAATCAACAAATCACCTGGAAAACATTATTAATAAAATTCTGTAAGTTTACCTGTGAGTTAGGCATGTAACTTTGTCAAAGCAGATGTAACTTTTATTTTGATGAAAATGAAACAAGAAGTTTGACTAAATTTTAAGATGACAAACTGATCACAGAGCAAGATCAAAACTGAGAGAATTAAACGAAGATCAAGAAGAAAATAATAATTAAAAGAAAAGGATGATAGAAACAGAGAATTAAAATAAGACCATGAAGAAAGACAAAAAATTAAAAGAAGAAAATGAGAACAAAAAGTAATTTAAGAGAGATGTTAAAAGAAATAGGCATAATACTTGAAGAATAAAGAACAAAAATAAATATGACTGAAGACAAGATTGATAAAGCTATTGGAGATGTACAGAGGGATTACAAAAAGACTGAAGATTACACAAAGGCTGCAATGACAAAATTAAAGTACAAAAAGACATTAGCAGCACTATCAATTCCTAGTTTGCCCCTGAAAAATGAAGGTCCACCTTTTGAAAATGCTTGGGTTATAGGGTATTTCAGCAGATCCCAAATTCTTTTAGTCTGACGCTCCCTTGATGTGAATAAAAAAGTTTGAGGTCCCCTAATCTGTAACTTTAGCATGGTGATTGAAAAACAGTGCCGTAGTGCAATAACATCTCCTTTCGACATACTGTATCATTTGATTAATTCAACAATTTTTTTATCAGCTTATTGTTTATTTAGAATTAAAATTAATTCAGCATCTTTGTTTTTGGCTGTGGTTCCCAGTATGGGAAACACTGGGGTATTGTATTTTTGAGGTGGAATGAGGTGAAACCATTGACGTGGAAAATAACACCAATTAAAGAATAAAACATATGGATATTGAATTGGTAAGTACAAAGATAAAATAAGTCATATCTCCTCAAAATTTACAAACTAAAACACCATTCACTATACACCTATTAACACTGCTGCTGTGCCATCCATTAACTGTCACTATCAAATCCAGTTCCAGAATTTAGCTGGCTATTTCAACAACATCACTGATTCAGGACTATGCAGGAAAGGTACCATAGGAGACATGCTAAACTCAGTTCAAAATTGTTTCCACAGATAACAGGTAAAATAGTGAAAATCAAGCTATTAATTTTCTTGCCCATTTAAAAAAACCAGCTTTAACAACATTAACACTATGTGTATGGCTGGGTCAAATGCCCATGTCACAACCTTTTACAATGTTACGTTCAATAGTTTGTTAAACTTTATTATCCATGCATACAATAAACTTGGCATCAAAACATAGTTTTAATAAGTTTTAATTTCTTAATTTAAAAGGGAAACATTTAAATGAATTCTCAATTTTCAGTTGTCCATTTCACATAACTCTTCTTCACTCCAAATTGCCCATTTATTTTATTCCCCCTGATCTTAATATAAAGTATACTCTTACAGTATAGATATTTCTAAGAAATAATGTACATTTATAGTCTCCAATTTTCTTGTTTTACTGAGATATAAACCAGAAAGTCAAACTAACATGCCACACCCTCCTATCACATCTTGTCCTTCAAAAAATATCAATAATTCTCTCTGAAATTTGCTATTCGATTATTTAGGAACAATAGAAAAAGAAAATTTTAATTACTAATTTTCATATAAGGCTTGTTCTGGTGACAGGTTTGAGTTATTTTATATGAATTTCATAATTTCCTATTGCTGAAATTACCTTGAATTATTTTAACACACATATAGCTTAATTTGAAAGCCAGTTGTAATAGTTTTATGATAGTTTTTTTTCTCATGTTAATATTGTGTGTTTTAAGTTGTATATCTAAAATTATTAAAAATTTATTAAAGTACTAACAATGATCCTACAAAAAATAGGGTTAACATTCATTGAGATCATGAGAGCAACAAGATACAAAACTCATGTAAACACTAAATTTCTTGTTTTTTATATTTTGTTCATTATTATAATAGTAATTAAAATGTAATACATTGAAACTTATTAGGTTAGATAAGAAAAATTAAATGAAAAACAAACAAAAAACTACAACACACTTTTCACAAGTGCAGCATGGTGTAATTTGACCAAGTGTGCTGGAAACTCAATACTTTGTTTTCACAAAGCTTACCTGCTGTGGTAATTCTAATGTGCAGTGAAGGAATAAATCTAAATGACTAGAAGACTTGAAATGTATTAGCTTTGGCTGTAAGAATAAATAGTGAGTAATTATCTATTACAATGTACAGTCATTCTTGAAAGAAAAAAAAAAGAAGGTAATTTTTATAATTATGTTCGTTAACAAAAATATAAACAAGCAGAAGCAATGGGAAAAACATTGATGCATCCTTATTCATCCAAATGTTTTTGTGAAGTGTATGTCTTTTAGTCTCAAACTAAGTGTTGTGGTCTTTTATGTATTGCATTATGACATTTTGTGAAAAACCTGTACACGATAAAAAAAAATTGTATTATTTTCAGATTCTGCATATAGGAATTACCATAAAACATGTAAAACTTTCAAGACAATAAAACCAACACAGACCTGTGTTATATATGCAAAATGAGAAGTATAAAAAACAAAACATTAGATGTTTCTTGTGTAACTTGAAAGGACCTTTTGAACGTAAGTGCAGACAAAGGTCTGTATGGAATAAGAACTTCTCCCAAAGGATACCAATAAGAGGGAACTCTTATAGTAATGGGAAACCTAAGCATTACATTTGAGATTGTGAGGAATCAACAGTTACTCATAAGTCAAGAAGATAATACCCTAATTAGAAATTTTCATGCACAACCAGATCAAAAGAATAAGGAGTTAAACAGAAAGTGGAAAGAAAAGAAATTAGGTGAACTTACATGAACCAAATTCAGTTATGAAAGGTGAGAAATTTCCTTCAGAAATAAAGAAAGAAGAAGGCTTGTTGCAAACAGCAGGTGGACAAAGTTCCAGCAAGAGGAAAGTAGGAAGTTATCCTCACTATAAGGAAGCTTCTCTGCACTTCCTGATACGTGGGTAACTGACATCAAAGAAGATTGAATATTGGGAACTGACTTCATGCAGAGACAAGGATGCAAGATTAGACCACCTTCAAATAGCTTCACAGTCATTGACCAGGAAATATCTATGCACTACATGACAATTACTACTCCAGAACTTGAACTTCCAGTGACAACAGGGAGTACTCATTGTACCAACAAGTGAAATACTCATACCAAGAATTAGAAATAAATTGGTACATAGTGGAATCAGACACTCTGGCATGTCCCGAGGAATTAATTTTTGAAACAGCTCTCATGTATCTTAAGAATAAAGGTATATGTGACTTTATCAAGGAAAGGCTTCAATCGGTTAATGGTAAAATAAAAAATCACTACAACGTTAGTGCTAATATGACTGGATTCCATTGAGATGACATTGTATGGCTGTGCAATCCCAGCCTCAAGAAAGAATGTATTCCACAGTTTAGTAGATGCTGGGAAGGGCCATAAATTGTACTGAAAAGAATCAATAATGTGATTTACATAATACAGAAGAACAGGCAGTCCAAGTCAAAAGTCATCCACCATGGTCATCTTTAGTATTATGTCAGTAACCCCAAAGAAGAATCTCTCAGTGGAAGTTCAACCTATGGAAGTGTTCAACATTCCTGTTGAAGTCTTCTGTACACAAAAAATCAATTTTAAGTAAAGCATTTTTAGTTATGATTTGTCCAGGAATGTGCAGTTTTTTTTTTACTAGTTTGAGTGCAAAGTGATTTTTTATGTTAAGATTAAAAATAATATTCTTCATCTAAAAAATCCAATTTCATTTGTATAATCTCTAAAACCTTCTCAATAAACTTGATATTTTATCTGTTATTATTTCTACCCTAACTCTACACAAGGTTGGTCACTCTGACCAATCTCGAACCATCAAAAAGAAAAAAAAAAAATCTAAATTACCCTTTCTTAATTTCTAGAATGACTTCAAATTGTAACATGAAACTACATTTGTGTATCCCAAAAAGTATTAAAACACATAATATACATCTATTTATACTTAAATTTTATTGTTTTATTGCCCTTTAAACCATCTCTAACTACTATTCATGCCATATAAGTTGTAAATCATGTGGCAAATGCACAGCTCACATTACAGTGTCAAATTATATAATGCACAGACCACTCGTGAGCATACCTCGGGAAAAAATTATTCTTCATTTTACCTATCTAACGTAAAAGATTTCCAATTTTTACATTTCAGTTACTTTTATAATAATAAATAAACAGTATCACATGTAAAACAAGAAATAAAGTACTTCCTCGGGTCTTCGTCTTTTTTTGCTGTTGACTATCAAAACACTTAACCCTACTTTTTCATACTAATGGTTCTACTGCACTATATAATTATTCATTCAATTAAATAATGTTCCAAAGAACACAGAATAATAACAAGCAAAAAGCATAATGTCTCATAAATATCACATTTTTTGGCTTTCCAGTTATGCAACAAGAACCATTAGAAATTCAGCTAAGCTCATCAATGTGTTTCCCGTGTAATAAAGCTTAAACTGGAAGTGAAACTGACAATTCTCTGTACAAAAAACAACATAATATAATACATCATTTGACAGATTAAGCTCTTGGCTTTCTATTGATTATAAATAATACAGTATCGAATGTCAGAGAGAACTATAGGAAATTTCTGAAAGAGAGGATGTGACAGGTGGGTGGGGCAAGAGGGGTCCAATTTTCTGTTTTATTGCTCTGTTACTAAATACGATTGAAGGCTATGAAAATTATGCTTTGCCTGAGCAATGACAACATTATAATGAGTAATTTATAAAAGTAAGAACTTAAAAATATGGATTATTAGCTATGTTTTTATGCTATATTTGTGAGTATACCATAAAATGAAAGTAATTTAATTAAATTTTGAATGTAACTCACTAAAACTTCATGACATGCACATAAAAGGATGCTCATGGCAAGAGCGTTAACCCTATCACAATGGGTATTCTTTACTGCTCATGAAACAAGGTTTAAACATGTTTACAAACATAATAGCAGCATTCCTGCATTTGGAATAACTGCTGCACAACCCCAGGTTTGTCCAAAGGTTTAGTCCTGTATACAGTCATGGCAGTGTACTCCATCCTTCTAATTTGACTAGAGTCAAGTTTTGAGTTCTGAGAGGCAAGATTTTATACATTTAGTTACTACTACTTAAGAAACTAACTTGTTTGTTGAGTTTGTAGTCAGCCATCAAGTGAATGTATCTGATCCTGTTTGATTCTGTAACAGGTGTGTTGCTTCCTTCAGAGATGAGCTCAATCACCTGCATAATGAATAATTATAACTAATAAAAGTTAGTTACCTTCTGGATCAATAAAACTGCATTTCTACTTTCTGTTCACAGATACCATTTTAGAAAGAAATATTTATAAAACTTTTAAAATTACATCTTATTATCTTAATTGTATCTTTATTAATAGGAGAACACATATTCCATTCTTTCCAAGTTCACTTAACAAACATATTTTATATTTAAAAAGACTTCACTCTTTTTAAGAAATCATTTGGAAAATGATATAAAGTACCTGATTTTCTCCCAACTCACTGTTTAAAACAGTGAAGTCTAAACCCAGGTCTGACACATCACCATCATATGTTTTCAGATAAAGGAGATTCCTGGTTTTACAAAAAAAAAAGAGAGAAACAAATCACCTAAATGTTGCAATCACTATGCCAGCACAACATATTGAGTTATTAATAATAATAAGAATGATGCATCCAGACCAATACTTTTAGATAAAGAAAACTAAGTTAAAAATTGTATAATGGCAGCTTCTATATATGTATATTCTGATACACAATATATTATCCATACAGGATCAAGCCATGTGACCGACCTAGTAACTATAAATTGACCATCAGAGTTTCCATACTATAACTTTTAATATGTTTTGTATATCTTCACTAAATTTGGCAAGCCCAGAGAACAAGTAGAGCTGTTTCTGTGCATACCTTGTGAAGAATGTTTTACCATCATTATTTTTCATTATCTTATGTAATAAAGTTATAATTTTTACATTTCAGTTACTTTTATAACTATAAATAGAGAATATACATGAAAAACAAGAAATTTAGTACTTATGTTTGACCTTTGTATTTTACTGTCAGTTGTCAATGAATTTTTTTTTTATAATGATGATACTAGTACACTAAATTTTTATTTACTTAACTAATACACCTAAGAACACAAATAACAACATGCTCAAAGCAAACAGTCTCCTATAACTATTATAATTTAACTGGGTTTCTAAATAGGACAATAGGGGTTTAAATTAATTCTATTGCTGCTTGATATGAACACCAAACTGAAGATAAATTGACAATACTCTGTATTGAAAACAATGTAGCATTATATGCCATTCAATAGATTAAAACTTTGCCTCTCTATTGGACAGAAATGATATAGTATAAAATGTAAGAAAAAATTATTGCAGAAAGGATGGGTAGGTGGGTCCAATATTCTAGTTTATGACTATAAACAAACAAGATTGAAGGCTATAAAAATTACTTTACCTTCATAATATCTATATTATAATAATATTTTTACATTAAAATCCATACTTCAGATATGATGATGAATAAATTAGAAAAGATGGAAGACCCATGGAACAAATGTCACGATTCTCATACAAGGGTAGATTGAGGAGTTAAAATATTTTCTCATAAAATTAAGAACTTTTTATTCATATACATCGATAATAAAGTAGTTTAATTCAATTTTGATTGTAACTCTGTAAAAGGTCATAGGTCATGATATGCACTCTGACCTATCCATACCAAGAAGGTTAATGGTTTGTCTGACGATGATGAACCAAATAAGCTAAATGGAATTTCATTCAAGTTTTTATTCATGCAGATTATGCTAGTTTATGACCATTTTTCATAAAAATATAGTGCCAGTTTGAAATTTCAAGTTCTTTTTTCTGTTTGACTTCTAACGTGTGTGTGTGTAAGTCTAATTAAATGAGTTGTTAATCTTTCTTTGTCTTATATACAGATAGATATCTTACAGACTTTAACTGAATCATTACTAAGAAACAGCTCATATTTTTATATAATTATAACTATTTGTAGAGTTTTATTTGAAGTATTCTAAAGGATTTAATTCCAATAAGAAATACTTAACACTAATCATCTAGTGTTACTTTCTTTTTACTATGAAATTAATATATTTTCACATTATTTGGAAAAACAACCATTTTTGATAGATTATGCAGTTAGGCATACATATACTAACATTAGTCATCAAAAGTAACACCTCAGTGACAGCTTAAATTGATAGCAGTAAAAATCTTTACATGCAAAATAGTTTACTGATATACTTAGTGACACTCTTAATAGACTATCAGAATTTTAGGACTGATATCTTATTGGTAATTCTAAATGGAATTATATATTTGTGACATACTCTCATGATACTTTTTGACATACCTATACATGATAGGATCTAATGAAGCAAGATGGTGAATGTCTACATCAGCTGTTTCTTTCCCCAAAATTTTAGCCAGAAAAAAAGCAGCAAATGGCAGCTCTACTAACATATTTTCGTACATTGCCTAAAAAAAATTATCCAAACAGTACCAGAATGAGTACACATGATTAATACAGAATATTAACATGTAAACGGTAAGTAAACAAATTTTCAGAGTAAAGCAGAGTAATATGATATTGCACCTTTAGCATTAATATTTTTTGATACAAAAACTAATTTGAAATTGCTAAAATAATATCAACTAGGGTGAAAAAAAATGTTCCTGGTCCCTATATGCTGGGTCACCATTTTCACTATCAATCTGAAAATTGTGCTTCATCTTATGTTTACATTTTATCAACAATAGTTAAGAAAAATAAACATATTTGTTTAAATTCCAAGACATGTATTTAGCTGTATTTGAAAAAGTAACGAATGTTTTGAAAGTAAATTTCCCTACTTAATATTAAATGTAAACAACTCTAATTGATAATAACGCAGAACAAAAGAAATAAGAATGTAATGTTTCATCACTACTTATGCCATAAATATTAGGAATGTAACATTGGAACTGCTGTAAATCATAATGATGTATTTGTTCAATTATTAGCTCTTGCTTGAATATTTAGTTTTATATAATACTGGTTATATTACAGGAGGTAACTATTCTTCCAAAAAATTACTTTTTTTTTTAACCCTCATTTGACGCTTTAAAAATTTTTCCTCAACTTTCAACATGTCTAACTGGTTGCCAACAGTGCCAGAGCAACACAACTTCAGTGACTAAACACAAAAGTAATATACAGTTTCTGTTTCCTTATTTTTCTATTTCCCCCCTGTTCTTTCCCCATTTTTTTGTTTTTCCTGCCCAATTTTTTGTTCTTTTCCTTTTCAGTCTTAAGATTACTCAGTAGAATTTTTTTTTGTTACATTATGATAAAATTATAGAGAAAAAACAATTAATATACATTTTTAATTTATTATTATTATTATTACTATAATACATTATATCAATTTTATGATTAACACAATATGCTCTGAATTTATGTGTATTAATTATTTTTTTTATCTTGGTTATTTTGTACACTATCACAACCTATTTTTCACTTATGATTGTCATTTTCACTGAAGAGATTAAAAAAAACTTTTGTGGACATATACACACAGTTTAAAAGCAAAAACTGTAGTCACCTTTCCAAGCATTCTGCCAATAAAGTAGTAGTGTTTTGTAAAGTTTTCAACTAACAAATGGACTCCTGGATTAGGGTAAAGAAGTCGATCATGGGTAGTTTTGAAAAAGCCACGGTTTGGATCAAAAGCAGTTTTTAATAGCTCATTCAAAAACTCACGAAATATCCCTCCACCATCAACACCTGCTTCATCTACACCAGCTTGATTAACAACTTGAACCCTCATTCTTGGCTTCAAGTTTGGTTCTACAAAGAAGAAATATTTGGAAAAAAATATTTAACAGCAATTTTTGGCTTTGGGTGAATTGTGAAATAAAATTGAACATACAAATTTAAAAAATAAAAAAGTCCACTGTTAGACAAATAGGAATTGAAACACTCTTCAGTCATCCATAGATTTAACATAGCTACAAAATTAAAACTAAAATTGACTTTGGTTTAAAAAAAGTCAAATTGTGATAATCACAAGTTCACATAGATAAAAACAATTTTCATTATTAAGTGCTAAACTACTTCCACTGAAATATGTAAAAATTATCAGGTAACTCCTTTAACTACTGTCGATATCACTGGACATAAAAAATATTTGCTACTGGTGAAAACTATAGTGATTTGGGGTAATTTGATGGTGCTGATTTAAAAAATGTAGTCAGAATTTGTCCAGCGCTATGTGAAATACCATGTAATCAACCCAGTACAATAGATTTACACTGTGAAATTAAGTTTACTTGGACACCTTAATGGGTAAAAAGCATATATTTTTTGAAAGCTTGACTGTATTGAATTGATATGAAAAAAGCAAATATATTGTTCATATATTTGTTTGTTCTTGATATAATTGTAGCAAATTGCACCAATTTCCCTTCATTCCCATGCTCACCTGCTCTACCCAGGAATCACAAAATCCTAGTGTTCTCAGTTTGCTAGAGTATTCAAAAAGTCCCTCAACTGAGCATAAAAGGGTGGAGACAGATGCCTCTCTCTCACTCATTTAGTCAATTCCCCTCACTTTGCACACAGTCAAAACAAAGTCCTATTTTCTTCCTCGCATCATACCCACAACATAATCAAATTCGACAAAACATTGTTTTTTTTACAATCTTTTAAATCCTAGTTCTGTAAACATAAATTCTTTTATATTTTTTAGAAAATCATTTGGCTGCCTCTGGTTCAAGAAAAGTCCGAAAGTGCAAAAATCACCCAAACAGCTTCTGCTACATTTGTTGAAAATATATTACAGTTTCACAAAGGAAAAGTAGCTTACTACCACTATTTTGGTAATGGTTTTGGATATCTGTATTTGACAAAGGTACTAGATGAGATTTTTAAAAGTTTACGATAATTGTGAAAATGACAGTCTTTACTCTTTTATTGACAAAGTACTTATAATTTAACCTGGATTTCCTCCCTAACCAATATCATTAGCACTGCTTTTATAGCATTTGTGGATTAAACAAAAAACGCACAAATGTTTCCTCAGAGTTATACTAAAACTATTTAGACATTTTAAAATTTCTTCTTTTATAGTCTATTTCAAATTACACCCAGCCAACAGACATACATTGCAATATATTTCTACTAGGGATGCATGGGCACCTAGCCAGGTGTTGGACTACCCAGTAATACTCGGGTCCAACCGAATGTCTAAGTTAAAAACAGCCGATTTTGGGTAATTGAAAATGGCATCTGAGCCCTAATCTTTGTGCCAACTTATGTGGTACTGAAAGTTACAGTCAATAATTGGTTTAATTAAAAAAATGTGTTCTAAGCAACGAAGACTGACTGCCCGCTGAAAGTCGGGGATTCAGAGAACAATGAGGGTTAATAACAGGTTTGGCTTGAGAAGGTGGGGATTTTTGAGAACAGTAGGGGTTAGGGTTTGAGAAGTTGAAAGTTAAATGCTCTGTGGGTGACTATTCAGTTAAATGTAATAAACATCAATTTTGTTTTTGTTTTTAATTTTTGTGTATGTTGTTTATTTTTTGGGGGGAGGGAGAAAACCCAGTCCCAGTTGACACTCAGCCCTGGCCAAAGTTTAGTGACTGGGTACCTGGACCTGGTATTCGGCCAAATTTTACTACCCGTGCATCCCTAATTTCTACCAATAACAATTTTATGGTAATCATAATTATGAATAAAATTCTTTCCAAAGCATAGTTTATTTATATATATGTTTTTCTTCCCTATTATCACACCTTCAAACGTGAACAAAATGAATTCGATTAAAACTACTACTGAACAGTACTTGAGACTATCCATTTATCAGTATACATATAAATGATGTAAAATCTAAAGGTCTTCACTGCAAGAGGAAATGACTACACTTTTGTTTTACAAGTGATACAAATACCAAGAACTAATGTGCACACAATGCAAAATGTTTGTGCCTCTCTTGTACTACTTCAACAGATGTATCTCAACAGTTCAGACTACTTTTGTTATGGAGGGAACAACATTCAATTGTGCTAAAAAATGGTAAATAGCTATCAAATAATGCAGTTACTTCACAAAAGAAAAGTATCATGCATAAATTTTAAGGTATTGGTGCAAAGGAAAGAGTATTGTCAAAAATGAAAGAGTTAGAGAGAACCTATATTGAAATCATTTTCAGTAAAACTATATTGTAAGCTGTTATTTATTTAGGTAAACTGTTATTTATTTTTTACAATTTTCATCTGAACTAATAAAAGAAAACTGGGTAAATCAGTTTTCACTAAAAATAAACATTAATGTTTTTATTCATTTATTTATCAGAACCTTATTAAACCAAGTTGTATTATAAAGTAAACAATAAAATCCCCCTTGGATAGATAATGTTTATGAATACAGTAGAACAGCAATACCTTAACAATTCACAGTTGTAAAATACTGTTTTAGGTTTACAGAATGTGGTTAATACCGAGACAAAATTTTCGGTAACTACGCCCCACGAATAATAGCTACATGTACAGACATCAAAAAGAAGACTTATGTAACAACAACTGCTGATATGAGAAGAAGATAATGTGAAATTCAACAAAATAAGATTATTCCAAACTGTTTCGACATCACTATCCTAGCCTTGAAACTTTTAATTTCAAACTTATCACATTTTCAAATAAAACCCTTCTCATATATCCACGTAGTTCTCTACATCACCAGATCTAAAAACTTAATCTATTTTTTTTTACAATTTATTACTGTTCTTAAATTACCTCTAATGGACTTGAGAATGTCCTAAAATTCTAATAATTCTTATGCATTATTGTCATTACTTTGTATAAGCTACAGCATAAAATTTTTCCCAGTTTTATGTTAAGTTCCAACTTAATTCTCACTAACATAAGACCATCATTTGATCTGTTAAGTCACACATTTAATTCTATCAAAGCACTTTCTTCCAACATATGTTTAATGGATATTCTGCATGACAAGTGAGGAAAAGACTTTCCACAGATCCTGTTCTCCATGAAAGTTGATGATGGTGATATATTACACACTTGAAACTATATGTAACACATCTTATATAATTGCTGTGGTATAATGTTTTCTGTACATTTCTGACTTAACAACGGGCTTTTTCTCAGATTATGTGCCCAACAAACTGGACTTTCAGTTGTTTTAGCAAAGGTAGTAATTTGTAAAGTTTACAGTTAGACAATTCCATCATTACTCATGTACCATTTTCTAGCAATTCTTAATGTTTTTACCTCTCCTGGATTTATAAGTTATTCATTAAACTCTACTATTCTCACATGACAACTTTTGGCAACATGCTATATAACTGTGATTACTTTATAAAAACTTCTCTCCAGTATACATTTTGTTCGCTGTTACTCATGTTATAAAAAAAAAAGACATGAACATTTTTGTTACCACTTAGTTACCAGTCTCTTCTACCAATCCAATTATGCTACAAAGGCCTGGTGTTTTAACTGGCCATATCCATAGGGGGAAAAAAAAGAAGAATAAATTCAAATTACATAATGCATTAGAAAGGTATTACATAACACCGCGTAAGGGTTGATTACTCACATCACAGTGTGCCCATCCATTTAATTGAAATTATTTTATCTTTTCTCATCACTCTACATTGTTCTGTCAATATTTTCCAACTTACAGACTTTCTCAAATAATATTAATAAAAAAAAACAAGTATGAAGTGAGTTACTTTAATCAAATCAAGATAACTTCTGTTTATCAAAAATTGCTTAGAAGTAGAAGATAAAAGTAAATAAAACAAGTTATTATATGTACATTATAAAGCACAAAACTCCTGATCCTACAGTTTACAAGCACAAAACTCCTGATCCTACAGTTCACAACCACAAAAATTACAAATGGTTATTCTTAAAATTGTCTGAGTGCCCATAACTACTTAAGTGACTCGTTATGCTCAATTTTTTTTAAAACTTTTTGCTCTTATGTGGATTTGGTCAGAAATGAAAGTGTATATATATATATATTCCTATTATTAGATTCTGGGTAATATTATCTTGATCTACCATCTGTATTGTAAGATGATAAATAAACCACTTATCACTTCATAAAAATTTACTATAGGGCATAAAAGGATCACTGTTTTAAGCAACTTATTGTTATTCATGCTGAATAAGTGTTACTCATGTTACCAAATATAGCCTCATGTTCTGTAATGGGTTTGATCTATTTAAGTAAAATTTTTTCAATACGTTATGCTCAACTAGTAGGAGCAAAAACAGCAACAACAAACATTATCCTAAAGAAATTAAAAGTGAGAGTAAAAAGATTATCCCAATATTATTCACATTACATGACCAAAATCAGTGGAGTCTCTAGCCACATTGAGTATGGTAACTGATACTGGAATTAAACTTTTAAGCCAAAAATGTTGATACTTTTATAATTAAGACAAAATAAAATTGTTTTTTTTTGTCAGTAGTGCAAAAAACTTGTAGCTCAGTCTAGTAAAACAATCCTATTCATTACATTCCAAGTCACTACCAGAATGTTAAAACAGTCCTCTTCGTAGCATTTTACAGCTATCAAGTGACATAATTGGTTTGTTACAACCAAAATTTTCACATTTTAATACTAGTAATAAATTACTTTATAATACCAAATTTGTTATTTTTCTTCTTTAATTGGACATTCAATGTTTCACTTTATACACTATAGGTTCATTAGAATTTATTATTTAAACCAGTTGAAACTTTGTACTGTCAGTTATGGATTGTGTTTTAGTGGAATGCTCTTGAAGAAACTGTAAAATGAAACACTTGGTGTCAAATTAAACAAGAAAAATAACTAATTTGGTGTTATAAGGTAATTTATTATTAGCATTAAAATGTCTATTATATACCAACATGCACTACAGAAATTAAAATATTAACATTTCAAATAAACTCTGAAATGACCTCTGAAATGACCATAGCTGGAAACTGCCCAAATATTTTAAAATTAAAATAACATGGTGCAATTAAAATGAAAAGATTAGATGATAAATTAACTGTCTACATAAAAATCATCATAAATATAGGTCTGTAAAGTGCATTTTTAATTCATGAATAAATTTCAGGTAAATGCAGTTCCCAGGACCTGTGTTACATCATTGATAGAGATCGTATCCAACTGATTAATCATAATAATATAGTACTCACATAAAGCTTAAACACGCCCTTTAACCTCCAACTTATATTGAGAATCAGATTATAATCATTATTTATCTTGCTTTAAGCTTTACTCACTAGTCTTTTAAACTAACCTATAGCTTGTATATATATCTAAGTGCCCTTTAGTCAATGTTTTAAACATTCTACACTCCGCTTAAACTAACCATTCCATACTACAAGTACATTATACCAAATTAAATAAAACTTCAGTCTGACAACTGGCAAGCCAGCTTTTATTTCATCAACAATCAGAGCAATGGATTCTTTACAAGTTCTATTGTTTTCATATGTTTGGGGAAATGTCTGAACCATTTTTCTTTATCTTATCGCAATCTGAAAATAGAATCTCCTCAACTTCAACCATCTATGTTGTAGTAGTAATTTTTCAGTATCAAGAAACATGATGAATTTGCTCATTGTTAGTTTCTACTATTATCAAGAAACTGAGAAAAAAATTTAATTATAAAAAAAACACCTCTAATTACAGAGGTAATTTAAAACAATCATTGATCACTTATGGAATTAAAACCATTACAAAATATCATCATTTCAACATTATAACAAGTTAAAACTTTTATTTATTAATATTTGATATAATAACAATCATAAGCTGACTGATAGCTTCCACCTTCCACTAGCCACTGTAGGTTATACAACTCATTAAATAACATAGCATGATTTCATTTGTTTAGTTGAATTAGTATCTGGTAACAGTCTTTTTAGGATTGTTATTTCATTAGTTATCAAATCACTCAAAACAGTCACATCCATTTAGCTGTACCTTTCTGGAATAATTACTTAAAGACTTGTTTATATTGGTATCATGCTTATCTAAAGAACTGATAATGGAACATCAATACCATCAACAGTACTTAATACAAACTTAACTGCTTCTTGCTATGGCCAAATTGAAGGTTATTTAACCTTCAGGTAAATCTGTACATTTTCTTTGATAATTCTGCATTACTATTACTGCTGTAGCATTGCCATGAAAAATCCATAAAGGGAGTTTTTTTTAATCACAACTGTATATACAAATTATCACTTAGCTTTCAGTTATACAGTAATATGTTGAGTTGTAAGATACTCTATCATGGGTATGAATAGGAATAAATACAAATATTGGTATTACAAATGTTTCATAATTATTCCATAGCATACAAGTTATTAAAAACTTTTTATTCACATATAATATTCAATTTTAACTACTAAAAGTACAATTAAAAAGGAAAGCTAGTATATGTATTTTAACCATCTCCAGACAGGTCACGGGTCAAAGGCCAAGTCATTGTGTTTGTTGACTCGCATTCAAAATTTTATTGAACTACTATTTTATGAATGCATGTCAATAAGTTTGGTATCAAACTGTAGATTATAATTCAGATTTTAGTATTATACATTATTTAATTCCTTGATTTTAAAATAAATATTAAAAAACACAGTTAAACATCAAATTTTGTGTGTCACATGGTACGTATAATGCAGCACTGGTTCAAATGAGATGTTTGTGATGTCAAAATACTAAGTCTATAGTTTCATATGAATTAGGAACTCAAATTACCGATATTGACAAGCTAGAATATAAAATAAGAACCTTCTATCTTTTTGATTCATCACTCATGTAATGAATCAAATGCAGTGGCCTTGCTCACCTCTTTCCGTTTTTAGAAACAGTCCCTTCAATATATGACATGTGAATAACCAATCGAATGTCCCCCTAATGGCTTTCTCAGCCATTTTCATGTGTTACGATGCCATCTCGTTCTTTCGAACCAAGATTTCAAGGAGGTAGGTTGTGTCTTTAGTCTCAATTACAGCTTAGTTGCTAAGCTTGATAAATTAGAGTGGAATTCTATGGTATCGATGTCGTATTTTATGATTTTTGGGTTATTCAAATATATATATTTAAAACCTAAAAAAAATATTTCGTTTCATATCCTCCAAGTGCACAATTTTAAAAGGCTTAGCAACCTATGTCAAGCAGCAACCAAGTACAAAGGTTGTAACTAGAAGAGTTAATTGTTTGTTTTACTTCTTTATTTATTCTGTTTATGTTTCAAGAAAAATAAGTTTAAGAACTTGTTTGTAAATAGTAATAATCTATATACATATATATAATGTATAATAATGGAAATGTGACTGTATTTTATAAAATACTAGTCTACTAAAACACAGCCAAGACAGGTCACTTTGTAAAGACTAAAGGTCAGTTTTATATTACTGGATACAGTAACGTAAAAGCATGTGTGCCACACGTCATTGTACCTTCTGTATTAGCAGCCAGTCACAGCTACTATAATATAATATAATAAAATAAAATATAATAAATAATCAATATAATAAAAATGATAAATATATACAACTGTATAATGTTATGAGATTTAAGCTATTTAGTCTAAACATTTATATTTTCGTGTTATAATCTGTTGTCATTCTGGAATGAAAGAGGCATAACTTATATTTATTTCCTAATTCTTTTATGGTGGTTACAAGATCAGTCAAATCTACCGAACCCTTACAGAGATTCTTTAGTGAAAATAACAGATAAAACATAAAGTTCTTTTCTTATGAAACATTTGATAACTATCTGGACATCATAAAGATTTTGCATGTTAGACAAAAAAAAAAAGACATGCAAAAAACATTGCTGAACAAACTTTAAGACTTAATGAAAAAAAATTTGATATTTTGAGTATGAAAGCATTGTATTGTTTATGCTTAATAATTTAAAAGTTATAGCATGCAAAACTATAACAACCACAAAATGGTTATGAGGTCAGTCCCAGGGACCAAGCCCGTGTTGAAAGAGTTAATATAATTCACAATAATTCTCACAACAAAAAAACAATATTTGTAGGGAACCATACCATTTTCTGGGGAAAGTTTGTCAAATGCATCTTCATAAATGTAATTCCTTCTTATTAGAACTTGAATTGAAGGACCCATTAAAAAGTTAGACATCTCTCCTTGGTTGTCTACCTTGTCCTTCAACACTAATGATTGGAATATCTAAATACACATTTGAAGAAAAAAAAAGGAGGGTGGTGAAACTGTTAACAAATAATGGTTTACTTTATCAATGCAACAGTTATTCTCGATTTTAATGGAGAGTGCTGGTAAAGAGAGACGTTTTGTTCATCAAGCATATTAAGGTAAAATATTCAAATCATAAGATTTAAAGAATGCAATGCACTTCAAAAATCACTAACTGAACAAAAGTACATAAAACTCAGCTGAGGTGACACCTCTCATAATTAATTTTTCCTGACCTACAATGAACTATATTTTTCTCAAGACTTTCTTGATTATGTGACAAACTGAATTTCAAACTGTGCTTCTGTTTGGGATATTCTAGTGACTTTTAAGAGTCTCCAAGTCTGACAATGAAGTAAAAATAAATTATCGATAGATAAGTGTAAACTTACCTTTACCCTGTCAGTAAAAGGTACTACAAATGGAAGCTCCCTCAGAATAGTCATGTGCCTTATCTCAGTTGTTGACATTGGTGGACCTTCTTCCTCTACAAGTTTTATAAATATTGATAGTATATCAGTTATTATACACTTTTCATAGGCAACATTTATCATGGCACTAAACAGTAAGTACAAGAACATAGCTTAAAACATTTCTAGCATAAAAAGAGCACATATGTTTCAAGTAAAACAAACTGTATGTACATTTTTATCTAAATATTTTATATACATACCGTTTAATGATCATTTGTTTGAAATGTCATTTACAGTAGAAAAATGCACTATAAAATCACTGATCTATAAAACATTCTAAACCAAACAGATATTTAATGGTCTCAGGAGCTGAAAAATTTTTTTTTAGCAAAATCTCTCTCAGAGGTGCTGCATTATACTAAGTCCTATAGAGCCAAATACTGGTACATATTTCAAAAATAATTCTTTCCCACCTTCTACCTCACAAACAATGATAATCTTTCTCACCTTATAACTGGTAATATTAATTTTAGAACCGACTCTTTGAACTCCCATACATGATTTTGTGTGTGTGATTTCATAGAGGACAACCTTACAAGTGAATTGTAGAGTTGTACATTATTACCTGTAGTATATTCTGTTAAGTCTTGTTTCTACACCACATTTCATTGGCCACAACGAGTGTTTACTTCAGGACACATCTGAGCTATAACTAAGAATTGAATTATATATTTTATATGAAGAGCAAAAACTCCATATTCTGTAAAGATATATTTTTTACAAGCTGAAGCTGTTACAGGTTATTACAGGCTCTTTGAGCAATTAAATAGGTTTTAAAGGTTTGCTGAGAGGTTTGTTCTCTTTAACCCTACCACCACGGGTATCCTTTACTGTGCATGACACAAGGTTTCAGGGTCTTACATTCAAAATTTTATTAAACTACTTTTAGTTTATGTTATACCAATTAGTATAGCATATAATGTTAGCTAATAATCCATATTTTAATAGTATGTAAGTTTTAAGTTCTTAGTTCTACAAGGCAATATTTAATAAAATACTGAATTCCTCTAGTGTGACACACATGACATTTTCTCTAGACATCTACTCTTCTCTATTTTATCCACCACCCCACCAAAAAGTATGAAATTAAACACAAATTACTCAAATCATCATTGCTCAGACAAACTATAATTTTTACGGCCTTCAATTTTGTTGGGGTACAGAGCTATCAAATAGAAAATCAGACCCTTCCTGCCACACCCACTCTTTCAGGATTTGTTAATAGTTCTCTTTGTTAATAGAAAGCCAAGGTTTTCATCTATTAAATGACATATTGTATAATGTTGTTCTGAACAGATAGTCATCAGTTTCACTCAGAGAACAACCTCCATTCCCATGGGAAAGCTAATGACTAGCTTAGATGAATTTGTAATGGCTCTTGTCGCTTAGTTAGAAAGTGAGAAAAATTTTGAGTTAGGTGAAAATGTCTACTTTTTGCATGTTATTAGTCTATGTTCTTTGGTGCATTAATTAAATAAAAATTATTTACTGCATTACTATCATTATAAAAAAAGTAGCATTAAGTGTCAACAACAATTGACAGCAAGAAAAAAAAAGATTGGATAAGTACTTTATTTCTTGTTTTTCATGTTTATTCTTCATTTATTATTATAAAAGTAACTCAAATGTAAAAATAGGAATCTATTTTAGGTTAGTTACGGTCAGATTAGGGAAAATAATAATAATATTAATATGATAAAAATATTTCATGAGTCACACATGCGAGCAGCTCATGGGTAACATAATTTGATAGCGTAATATGAGCAGCACATTCACCAAGTGATTTACTTATACTGGCATGAATAGACATGGTTCAAAAGGCAATCAAAAGGGTAATAAAACAATAAAATTCAATTATAAATTGATGTATACTGTAGTTTCATACTACATTTGAAGTAATTCTAGAAAGTAAAAGATTGTAATTTAGATTTATTTTGATTTTTGGGGGGAGTTACAAGGTTGGTTAAATTGACCAACCATATATAGTCAGGGTAGAGAAAATAACAGATAAAACAAAGTTTTAGTGAAAAAAAAAAATTGAAATGTTTTTAGGAGGTTTTAGAGATTACACAAATGAAATTTGAGATTTTTGAGATGAAAAGTATTTTTAATCTTAACATGAAAATCACTTTGCACATGGACTATTCAAAACTGATACTTGATATATAATTTATTAAAAAATAATTCACTAAAAATATGATTTTTTTGTATGTGAAACATTAATATTTCGTGAAAGACTGCCAACTTTCGTGAAGATATACATACTATATTAAAAGTTACCAGTATTAAATCTATAGTCTTTGAATGAGTACAAAGAAGTCACACGGTCGTTCAAATTGACTGAGCCCATGTTGAGAGTTAATACAGAAAACAATAATGAAGGTTGTTATAATCACTTCCTATACGTACAATACGAGATTCATGATGTGACAATAATTTAAAATTAAATATGCTTTTGCAACCTTCCTTTTCTTAAATAAAATCTACTTTTTTTTTTACTGTGAACTTCCAACTCTGTTGTTGGATTTAAACAGGTCTTGATATTATAATATCAAATTTACTAACGGTTCTAGTAACAGTCCAAAGTTATTTTTGAGGAGTCACAAATTATTTAAAAAATACATGTTAAATACACACCTAACTGTTCTCTTGTTAATGCTCTAAGTCCAACAAATGGCGTGTAGCTTCGAGATCGTCTACTTCCAAACCGCAAATCTGTTGGCTGTAAACAAGTAGCAGAGAAGCTTATTATATCCTCATTTATTGATAAGAATTTGAGAAAGTTGAGCACTGTTAAAATATGGATTTCTTAATCTAATAGCAACCCCTTTCAGAAAGACAAAATCTGAGAACAGTTTTATTTTGTGTAGAAAGAATACCACCTTGCACAAAAACAATGCATAATCCAGTCATGTTTTAACAGTAGCGGGTTGTAAACATTGTTAAATATCTACATCCTGCAATCAACAAATGCTCCTGACATTTTACCAAATATGAGTTTCTCAGCTACAACAGTCTCAATAAAAATCTCTTTTTGTTTTTTTAAAAACTAATCTAATAACTGAACCCCAATAATTTATTTAATTAAATTATTGATGTTTCTTTTCACTGAATTATTGCAACACATTAAAAGAAATAGAGTATAGTCTACAGAGATTTCAGTACATTATATTCTGTAAAAACAAGTAAACAAATCAGCAAGTTACATGAAAATCACAACTGATATGAATGGCAAAAACCAGAACTAGATTCTGACATAGCTTGGTGTTTCATAGATAGTATGATGCCAACAAAACCTGATCATTTTCTGATGCAAAATATTCATACTCTCAAAAGACAAAGATGTTTTCAGATGAAGGATTTATAATTTCCAGGACTGGGATATCCCTTGTCCTTAATGGGATTGGAAAACAAAGAAATATGGATATACTTGGTGCATCAGGACTGTATACAGAGACCTTCAACATGTTGTACCTCAGCCATGGTAAGCAAAGTGGAGCATTTTATAACATGTGAGAATCTACCAACACATGGGCTAGAGGTAAAATCCATTCACGTGTCCCAGGAGAATGTATGCAACATAATCAACAGGGTCTCTATCTAGAAAGCCAACACAAGTTACTTCTATGACATATCCATTCAACAGTTGCATACTTCAAGCAGCTTGAGAATAAAATGGGTATTCACACTATTCCATAGGAAAACATCCCAGTCAAGTCATTACCCACAGTGCCTACAGATTTTTGTGCAATTGCACATTTAAAATGGCCAATGGGAAAACTTCAGTCCTGATACATTAGATGACCTATGTAAAGCAAGAAGGGAGGAGAGGTGTGATTTGAACATGATGCTTTGTGATGGAGATTTATGCAATGAAATTACACTGCAATTTTATTATCAAGTTGCACAAGCATCAGACAGAGCAGAACCAGACATAGCAGCAATATATGAACTATAGTATCAATTGCAAATGTAGACACCTTGCCCATGGCCACTCCTTTACGCGACTAGACAGGTTAAAAGCCTTGATCCTCTTGTTACAATTCAGTTGAAGTGTGAGTATTTGTTATGTAATATGGTGCTTAAAATTAACCCCTTCTGAGAGGGCTCCACTGATGGACCTTCTGACATGAAGTTTTTGTATTTCAGAGGACAAATTGCTTGTAACCAGAACTAACCAAAGAACACGGACAGTGAGCCACTGCAGCACAGTAAGAACTGCCCCTGGAACAATTAACAAAAAATTCAAATAGGTTTAAGAGCAAGACACAAAACCATGTTCACAATCATCTCCCAAAGAATGTAACTGAATGAAAGACAAACTGTTAAAACCTGTAGGGATGGTAACTAAAATGCGACAATATTGAAATATATTGTCACATTCAACAAATCATATTTCTATTTAATTGTTTAAAAAAGTAACAAAATTTCAAAAAAAAACATACAGAGTATGATGCAAATTTTTTCCAGTGATTTATGTTTCCAGGTTTCAGCTTGAATGGTACGGTAAAAATTTAGAGAGTTAAAAAGAATACCAAGGTGAATTGTACATACCCAGGATTTGTACACCATTTTGAAAAATTAATTATATGACATTTGTTCAAAATTTCACAACATATTTTGACCATCGGAATACATTTATACAGCTACAGTTGGATCAAGTAAAAGGCAGATTACAGTTTAACAAAATTTATTTCAAATTCTTAATCACTTTACATTGAGTCAAATTACGTATGATAAGCTATTCTATTTTCTCAGTCATATAACATATGAAATGTTAAAATATCTATATATATCAATATCAAACATTACTACTGATGCTTAAGTTCCGCCAGCTTACTGTTAATTACAGTATCAAGTTTTCCTGCCTTAATTAGCTTTTCTCTGGCAGACCTTCTATGACTATTACCCTTTGCTACCAATGCTTTCAATTCCTTCACATTTTGTGTTATTTCTGTCTACTCAGTAAAACTATCTACTGACTTTGTGAGAACATCTGCATCAGTTTCTTATTTTTAACTCCTCAATTTTATTCATCATACATTTCCTTTTTTTCCCTTCTTTAACTTTTCTTTTTCAACCTTTTTTTTGTCTAAATACATACATCACGTACTTCTGTCTAGCTTCTGACACAACCAATTCTTTACCTATATCAACTTTCAGATGCCAGGTGATCAAGTACAACTCTCTTTGAAACAAAAGTCATCTCTCTCATATTTAGTTGGCACACCTCTTTGTTCATATAAAAACCTCTCCATACTGAGGACTGACCATGAGATAGGATAACAACCCTTTCACTATGTATCACAACTTTTCAAAGCCTTGTCTGCCAGATAGGAGATCAAAATACAAGCTGTCAATTCTGTTTGTTTCAATTTTATGATCAGAGTCAATGAATCTTGACTTATATTCAGGAACATCATCATCAATAGTTTAAATATTGAAGTTTAATGGCATCACACTTTCTGTGCCTCAACCAACAATTTTAAAATACCATCAAATATCTAAATCCAAGATGCTTTATTCTTTACAATTTCTCTTAGATACAAACATAGCAAAAGCCTCACTAACTGAAACTTTACTGGAGACTTTTCTTGAAGTTTCTTAATAATACATATGATCAAATTATTCACATCAGATTTCACACCAAGAATACTGAATACTCTTATCACTCACATTCTTAGCACTGGATGATTAAAGTGACTTTATTAATCTTTAAGCTACAAAACCAGTATCAATTTTGTGTATCATCTTCAAGTTACTTGCATTGTCTAAATCTAACTTCATGATACTGCGTGATCCATGGTTTCCTAAAACCTCACTTTTGACAACTTTACACAAGAGACTTTTCAACATACTGAACATATCAGCTGCTAGAAATAGCATCATTGGCCTGTCTATCTGAGAAGTGGCAAGAAATGGTGTTATAAGTTGTGAAATAGAGATAAATACATTGATCTTTATCTCTAACAGAAAATCGTTTAACATTTTAGATACTGTTTCATAGGAAGAATGTTTAGGGTTCTTTACATCTTTTTTTGCACTGTTAATACATATTTCTTTATGCTTGGAAACACTGCAAAATTCTCTGAGCTACAGGTACATTTCCCAACCATCTGTGCTTACAAAACCTAAATGGGAAGATATTGGAGCCTGTAACTGATGTAAAGTTTTCCCATCGAGCTGGAGTGTCAATGAATAACAAGTAACAGCTCTGGAAGAATTTGTCCAAGTGCCAGGCTGATTCTTTCATCCCTGTCTTGAATGCACCATCAAGAATGTGTAGCCCACAACTGCCCATATTCAGGAAGGAGGTTCTATCAATATCCATACAGTAGTTCTGCAGCTGATCAAGGAACTTCCAACTCAGATTTGGATCATCCATGGAAATCTAAAATGGTAAATAAATAAATCATCAGGTTGTAGATGATGCAAGTACATGAATTAGTCAATTGCATCATGACTAAAAAAGTAACAACCTGCAACAGCTTGTGTCTAATTACTGATGTCTTCCAGAAAGCTATGTAGCAGATGATCAGCAGTAGCATGTCTCATAAACTGTGATGTTAGACAACTCATAACAACCTTACTTGTGTTTACATTCCACAGCAGAACTACAAATGTTAAAAATCCAATCAGTACTCACCCTTCACCAAAATATTAGAAAATTATTATTAATAAAAACTCATTTACTGTTTAATTTTTTTTTGTAAAAATTCAGAAATGTTCTTAAAAGATTGTATTGCCATCCACTACAGGCCAAAATTTACATTCATATTTTAATATTAAACTTTTAACAAATTCACATATTGCATAAACAATAAAATTCGCTCTTATCAATACCTGCTGAGAACAATTAAGTATTAAATTAATTACCTTGAATGTCCATTTATTCGGTCTCAATCATCTTGTTAAGGCTTTCATCAAACAACAGTACATGCCAATCTTCTTCAGTCACTTCATCTTGTTAAGGCTTTCATCAAACAACAGTACATGCCAATCTTCTTCAATCACTTGTTTTCTCAACAGGGTTGAAAAGTAAGGAGACAATCCAATACAGCAAAAATATGACATTTTTTTCTCGCTACATGAAAAAAGTTTTGCTACGTTAATAGCTGAAAACATGGCCTGAAACATTTCTGTGACCCCATCACTAAAGCAGTAAGAGTAGCGGCTCTGAACAGCATTTAGTGTCCACAATATTTCAGCTGAACATCGGAACGTGATACAAAATTGACAGTGTCAGTCTTTGCCATGGATTTGTCTGGTATTGCAGCCTTAGTATCCACTAATATCGACTGTTTGTAAATGAAATGTTATTTTCAACGTCACTTCTTTTTCCTTTGCCTGGTTCATGTGAATATTGTCTTTCATATGACTTTGACAGCTACTTCTCCCATATTAGAGATGCCAAATGATTGCTGGCAACATGAATGTTTTGTTTTGCTATTGTCACCTTTGTCCAATGTAATCTACGCTTTGTAAGCTGGGTGTGACAACCAGTTTTCTTTGAAACTGCACTTTCCAGGCATCTTTTCTTTGTAGCATTTCAGCTGTAACATCACACTTTACATATTGAAATGTAAGTCAATTCAGCATCAACAATGTATGTGTGTGTGAAAGATTGACAAACAAGATGGCTACCTGATCTGAACATGTACTTAACAAGTAGGTCAAGTCATCAGAGACAGACAATCAAGTTTAAGCATATTCGAGCCATGGATAGATCAAGAGGTGTGAGGCTGACATTTAATAAAGGAATAATTTTGTTTTAAGTCATATTCAGCATTATAGGATACCTTTTATTAGCTACACAAAAATTTCATGACTTTTAGGCTAACAATCCTTTTTTTTTCTAGGATTTTCAGGCCTGGAAAAATTATTTTACAATTCCATGACTGTTTCAGGATTTTTATGACCATACAAATCCTGCAAACCATACTATGAGACAATAACATTATTTTGTATGATTGGAAGCTAACAGGATATAGCTCCATCAAAAGAAAGTATCTAGCTACATATTTAAGTCAACATGCCAGTTCCTCTGCAAACACAAATGGGAATATACCATTCACAGATATCTTCTATGATCTTCTTTGCCTTTGATCTTCTTTCTATGATCTTTGCTCAAATAGGCCCTTGGAAGTCCTCATCAATTTACAGTTAATGAACTTTTAAAAACATGTAAAGAAGAGGTGACAACACTGACCTCAGTGTATTGTGCAAGAGCCTCCTACAGAGAAAACTGCTATGCAGAGAAATGGTTCATAGCTAGAGATATCACAAAACACATGAACAGTGGTGGAAGAAGGAACTGTTAAGCCTAAGCACTCTTTCTTGTATAATTACCACAGATCATGACCCTCTGTACAACTGTTTTAATAATCTATGACAAATAATTCTAAACACAACTGAGCACGAGTACATCTGTATGATTAAAAAGAGAACACAAATTATTGACTCTCAAATCTTGTTTCCTAGTAGAGAGAACTGAACATGCTTTCCAAAAGTAAGCATGTTTAAAATTGTTTGTAGGATTTCACAGGTTAACTTTTTTCATGGGCACATAAAAGCAAGAGGGAATCCTCAATAGCCACGGCACTTTTAATTTTTTTAGGCATTAGGGTAACTTAATCTATGAGACCTTTATTTCCGTTTTTATTAGTTATATTTTTGGTGCCTGCAATATTGAGTGTGGGGTGCGTGTATACCCGATTCAATTTTATTAGTAATCAGGATCTTTACCAGCCTACCCTCAAATTTGAATTCTTTTAGGCAGGATTAGAATAAATTAATCTATGAAATCTTGGGTATGGACAAATACACCAATCGAAAGGGTTTGACCTCCAAAACTGTAATTAGATCTCAAATCAGTCATGAGATGACGGAGCTATGAGCTAAAAGTTTGTACTTATATATATGCAACTGGATTAAGACTGTAGCTCTTACACTTCTCTTTTGACTAAATTTCAAAAGTAGTGAGCCAATGGCAGGAAACAAATTGTTTTCATACTGATTATTGGTCAATCTAAGAAAAGTGCAATCTTTGTTTCATGGACTAAAGCAGTTGAATTGAAATCCATGTAAATGAAATATATAAATTTTAAATTGTATAACAAAAGGAATAACAAAAAAATTATTTCTTTATTCATTGAAATATTAAGCGAAACTTACCTATAACATTTAATTAACCCTATCGCAATAGGCATCCTTTACTGAGCATGTCATGAAGTTTTAGTGACTTAAATTAATAATTTTATTAATCTACTTTCTGTTTTTGTTATATCAATTAGTGTAGCATAAAATCTTAGCTAATAATCCATATTTTAATAGTATATAACTTTTAAGTTCTCAATTTAATACAGCAATATTAAAAAAAAATCCTGAATTCCACTATTGTGACATTTGCTCAATGCATCTTCTCTATTTTACCCACCACCTCTCCAATAAGTATGAAATTAAAAGTAAATTACTCACTATAAAATCATCATTTCTCAGACAAACCATAACTTTTATAACCTTAAATACTGTTTGGTTACAGAACTATCAAATAGAAAATCAGACTCCTCTTGCCACACTACCTGTCACATCCTCTTTTTCAGGATTTGTTAATAGTTCTCTCTTACGTTTAATTCTATATTAGCTATAACCAATAGAAAGCCAAGGTTTTCATATATCAAATGATGTATTGTATAACATTGTGTTCTGAACATATAGTCATCAATTTCACTCGGAGTACAAGCTCCATTAGCTTGGATGAATTTGTAACGGCTCTTGTTGCATAATTAGAAAGCCAGAAAAATTTTTAGAGTTAGGGGAAATTGTCTACTTTTTTTTGCATGTTATTAGTCTGTGCTCTTTGGTGCAATATTTAATTAAATAAAAAGTAAAGTGTCATCGATAATACACAGCAAGAGAAAAGAAGATTGGGTAAGTACTTTATTTTTTGTTTTTCATGTTTATTCTTTATTTATTTATTATTATGAAAGTAACCAAAATGTAAAAATGGGAATCTCTTTAGGTTAGTTAAGATTAGATTACGTAAAATAAATAATAATAATAATATAACAAAAATGTTTCATGTAGATTATGAGTAATGTAATTCGATAGCGTAACGTGACCTCCACGTTTCCCAAGTAACTTACAACTTACAATGGTGCAAATAGTACTTAGATATGGTTAAAAGGGAAATAAACAATAAAATTTAATTCTAAGTAGATGTATACTGTAACAAATTTAAAGCTGCTTAGGATAAACAAATATAGTTTCATGTTACAATTTGAAGTCATTCTGGAAAGAAAAAAAAAGGGTAATTTAGATTTATTTTGGTGGTTACAAGGTCAGTTAAATTGACCAACATTGTATAGAGTTATAGTATAGAATATAACATATAAAATATAAAGTTTAGTGAAAACAAACATTTGAAATGTATTTAGGAGGTTTCAGAGAGTACACAAATGAAATTTGAGATATTTGAGAAGAAGAAAAGTATTTTTAATCTTAACATGAAAATCATTTTGCTCACAAACTACTCAAAACAAATACTCGATATATTCATGGACAAACCTTTAGTAAAAATATTTCATTTAAAAACTGTTGTTTTTTTTTTGTTTACTAAATACTTGTAATGGGTACTAAAAGTCTGCCAAATTTTGTGATGATACACACTGTTTATTAAAAGTTATAGTAATAAAACTATATACAAGTACAAATGGTCCCATGGTCTGTTGCTGGGACCAACTATGTATTGAGAGAGTTAAAGAGCTTACAATATTTTGGTGCTATTGGAATACAAGTAATTGACATACCCTGTTTACAGGAATGCTGATATGTTTCGCTATCCAATGATTCTGAGGACAGAACTGTCGTTGAGAATCTCGACTATAAAGCTGATGAAGTAAGCCTACTGCTTCCTAAAAGTATATAAAAAAGAAAATGTTTAAAATCCAACTATTAATCCCAGTAGAAAGATACGTGTAAAAGAAAGGAAAAAAAGGGGTGGAGTCAAAACTAACAGTGATAAATGCCACTAGTATTCATGTTAATTCTAACAAATTCTGTATGTGTGTGTTTTTTTACAACAGCTTAGGTGGTAAAAAATATAATTTTATACAGTAGTTATATGTAAACCATATTACAGAGTATGTATGCCTTATTTAAAATCAATCTTGACCTAAACTTCATTCTACTCCTTGTTTTCACATAAACATATATTGCAGGTTATCTGTTTTTCAACATCACAATGATAATCAACCTTAATAGTTGATTATTGTGGACTTGTTACCACAGTGAATTCAGTTTAATGTTTAAAATACCATGGGTTTTGTAGAACGTCAATAACTATGGAAGGGGTCTTGCAGCCTTCCCAATATTTCTTATGAAAATGCATAAACATATGCATTTTTTACCATTTGCACTTTTATTATTTCTGAATATATATATGCAAACATCTTCTATAAGCATTCCAAGAATATAATTGTCATATAAAAATATGAAAAGAACAGAAGATAACAGCTCCAGAAGGTTTCCTTTTAGTTTCTAACATTTAATATTTCCAGGAATTAGTGTAAATAGCCTTGGTTTGCAACCTTGCATGCATTTTGATTTAAAAATCAGGATAATGATAGAAGAAAACTTTTGGTTTATATGATTATTCATAACTTTTTAAAGTAAAAATAAAAATGGTTATTTGTACTTTCTAGTAGACATCTGTTCAACAACATATGCAGATAACACATTACATGATAAGGTTGAGATTAATACCTCCACTCATTAATACTGCATTTAAATGGTACCCATATTCTAAATGAAATTAATCTAGATAAACAAATGTAAATTTTAAGTAACAAATTAAAATCTAAATGAAAAACTCTTCACTCTGTTAACTCGTATTACACAAAGTTTATGACAGTTATTTCTCATATCATAGTTTTGTAACATGTTACTACAAAAGCAATACAAAATGAAATACTGTAATGTTTTCCTTTTTTGCAAAAGCATGCCCCTGTTTTTACTGATTACACAATCCAAGTCATAGTATTAAAAATAGATGTTTGACAAAATTCTTACCATATTAAAATATTTATACAATTGCTGTTAAATGTACTGTAATAACATCAAAATTACACATACATCACAATTATGAATTAAAACTTTTCTGAATATAAAATTTTACAAAATTTTACTTACTTTTATATGTGATGTATAAAAGTAATGATGAGTATATATTAAGTACTATTACTAAAAGGTATCATTTTTAAACACTTCTCCCTACCACATGTGAAATTATTTGTGGATGAGATTAACACTTCAGCAATGGGTAAGTCACAGTGTGCACGTCACAACTTTTACAGAGTTAATTCAAAATTTAATTAAACTACTTTATTATTAAAATATATGAATAAACTTGGCATCATACTGTAGTTAATAAATCAAATTATAATATTATATGAGCTTTAAGTTATAAATTTTATAAGGAAATATTTTTTAAAATCCTCAATCTTCTCTAGTACGAAAATTGTGACATTTGCTTTCTAGGTCTTCCCTTATCTTTAATTTATATACCACCCCTCTGAGAAGTAAGTAATCTAACTTGAATTAATTATTATATAGATATTACTCAGGCAAAGCATAATTTTTATAGCCTTCAACCTTATTTGTTTATCGAGTCATAAACTAGAAAATCAGACCCACTTGTCACATTCTCTTTTCATAAATTGCCAATAGATTCCTATTACATATTTTACTAAATTATTTATAATCAATGGAAAGTCATAGTTTTTAATCTACTGAATGATATATTATATTATGTTTTCTCTAAAGAGAACTGCCTATTTTGCCTACACTTCTAATCGTCTTTCTCATGGGAATCAACTCAACAAGCTTAGCTGAACTTCTAAGGCCAGAAAAATTATGATAGTTATAGAACATTGTTTGCTTTTTACATGTTGTTATTCTGTGTTCTAAGTGAATCATTTAACTAAGTAAATTTATTTATTGTAGTAGTACCATTATTATAAAAAAATAGGCTTAAGTGTCATCAACAGTCGACAGTAAAAAAACAGAAGACCCAGATAAGTAGAAGATTTCTTGTTTTTCATGCGTATTCTTTATTTATAAATGTAACTAAAACATAAAAATGAGAAAGTTTTTAGGTTCGATTACGTAAAATAATATAAAAATTCCTCATGAGGTATGTTTGCTAGCCACACATGCATTACTTAATTCAGTGCACATTTACCGAGTAACTTGCAACTTGTGTGTGGCAGGATTCTTAGCTAAACATCGTTCAAAGGGCAATAAAACAACAAAATTAATTATAAATAGATGAATACTGATACAAGCTATAAGCTATTTAGGATAAACAATTGTGATTTCTTATTTCAATTTTCATTCATTCTAAAAAAATAAAAAAGGTAAATTAGATTTAGTTCCTACTTTTTTATGGTGGTTACAAGGTCGGTCAAATTGACCAATCCTGTACAGAGTTATATTATAGAAAATAACAGATAAAATATAAAGTTTTATGAAAAAAAAAAAGTTTGATATTTATTTAGAAAGTTTCAGGGTTTACACAAAGAAAATTTGAAACTTTTCAGATTAAGAAAAGTATTTTTTATCTTAATGTAAAAATCACTTTGTACTCAATGCAATCAACACTCTGACTCCATATAATTATGAAAACAATTTCAGCAAAAAATACTTAATTAAAAATTCTGATTTTTTTTGTGTACAAAAGACTTAATGTCTACTGAAAGCTTGCCAATTTTTCTAGAGGTACATTAAAAACTTTCAGTTATAGCACGTATACCACTATGGTTACATGGTAGTTACAAGGTCATGCAAAATACACAAGCCTATTGTGTAAGGGTTAAGGATTCCTTTTTCTTTTTTTTTTTTTAGTTCTAAGCTTCTTTTATGCCAGATTCATCCAGGTTACCCAATATCTCAGAAGTCAAATTTTTTGTATATTCCAATAGAACTAGACACACACACACACTTATGGCAGAAAACCTACATTTAGTAGCACCTAAGAACAACAAGTTAATCTGAAATGACATTTAAGCAGTATGTTTCTCACAAATTTAATCAATTTTTTTTTTTTAAAGGAAAGCATACTAGTTGAATTCGAAATACTTGCAACCTCTTCCTTCTTCATAAACTTCTTGTGTAACCTAACAGACATTTTTTCCTACTTTCAAACTATACTAATATGACTATTATGTTCAAAAATGTTTGCTGCTTTGGTATTTTCAGAAGAAAAAAAAAGAAAATATATTGTATATTCAAATGCTTTGGCAAATGTTTGAGTGTCAGGTAAGGTATGACAACAGGTTTCAGATGTCTGTGAACAAATTTAACAATGGATTGACAAGTTATCAGAATGACTTTTAGCAAATTTTAAATTTATCCTGCCTTTTTTTTGGTAAAATTTATTTTTGAATTTGAGATACAGTTCATTATTTGGCATATGCACCATTCAAGATGCAAAAGCTTAATTGGCCAAAGCATCTTAGAAGTAATAAGGTTGCCCAGTAAGATTCCGTTCTTTCAGAAAAAATTGATTTACTGCAAAAAAAGTTGTAAGCCATGCTTTAAACAATTAAAGCCAAGGTTTAAATAAACTTATTTTATAAAAATTGGAAGTAAAACCTTAAATCCATGCTTCCATTGAATTTAGTCTACAAATGTTGTAAGTCATACCTTAAACAACTGAAGCCAAGCTTGGACTAAAAGCTGAGTATTCACAGAACATTCTTCAGAAACACTTTGTACAACATGTTTGTAATGCTCATTAACAGAAGGCTTTGTATCTGGGTAAGCAAGTTCTATCAAACCAAGACAAACATCTCGTAATGCCAATGACAAGCTGACAAGTTCAGAGAGACTGAATGGCATTCTTGTGACACTACTTCCATCTGAAATAATACATTCAGTACCTGTTTTTACAAAATTAATACAATTTTAAAACTTACAAAATGGAAATATGCAATTTCATTATTATAATTGTTTAGTGATCATTTTAAGTATTATATTTAAAATATAACATACTCAAAGTACCTATACCAAAAATCAAACATGAACATAAAAATAATACATCTATAAATTGAACACAGTGATATAGAGAAATGTTACTGAAAAGTCTGATACAGAAAGTATTTCATGAGATCAAATATAGATATCAAACTACCAACATCTTTTACAATGAATAACTGGCCAGTAATAAAAAAATGTTTTCAACAGACTTGTCTTCGCTTAAGAAAAAACATTCTGATAGGTTAAATTCAGTCATAATGACATTATGTATAAAAGTATGTACTCTTTTATTGTTAATTATTTTGGCATCACCACTAACACGTATTATTAAGATAAAGATAAGTATCCAAAAGATGTTCAATTGCTTGTCTTTCCATAAAACTAACCTATTTCATCTTCATAAAATTCTACTTCATGAAGTGTTGGCATTAAATGGCTAAATAATGCACAAAAAACAGTCAGCTGAGGAAGAAACATTTCCATGTATGGCTGGGGTAGTGCAAGACCTCGAGATAACAGCTGTAGAATGGGTGTGGGGGAACTAGGAAACAGAGTATCATATCAGTATAGACATATACAGGCAAAATCATTTTTACTTAGAATAAACTATTTTTCCATTTTTTTGTGGAAAAGAACAAGGCTATAACTTCATTTCTTTGTGCTAATATATGTTTTTTAAATATATATTAGCACAAAGGAATGGAATTATTAAATCTACAGAGCTCAAGAAAAAGAAATACTAATTTACATATCACTATCATACACGTAGAAAGTTTGACTATCATTCTCACTGTCCATCTAAACAGATATATATTTTTAGGAGCTATTGTCAAATTACAAAGTATGCTGTAATAGTATGGTATCAGCACTAAATAATTTAAGATAAAGAAAATGAAAATAATATATAAATTATTAACAATAGTGCCATAAGAAAACTGTACAGTGGTACATATTTAAGTAAAAATTTAAACCTATCTTTAACATACAGCTTACATGTTTCAATGAACTATTTGAGAAAGTTTAGAGTGACTTCACTTTCCAAGATTTATAAATTATTAGAGTACAAAGCATATTTCAGCCTACTTTTCCTTTCAGTGGTTGTTAATTCAATTGTACCTTCCTCTGTTGAATGAAGCAGAGAAGGCATACAGTGTACAATGCTTTTAATTAGAGGATTATCAATAAGCAGTCTGACATCTAAATGAAATTGCAGAGATGCAAACTTAATACCACCATTGAATATGTTTTCTTTCAACCCTTTTCAGACTGGGGAAGGGAGGAAGAACTTTTGTTGCCAAGTTTTTCCTTTTCATAGTAGAAATACTTTACCTAATTTTATGATACTTGGCACAAACTTACTAAACCTTGACTTGTTTAGTTTTGGCTTTAAAAAATTATATATAATTTGATTTAGTATTTTTATCATTTGTTCGGTTGTGAAATTTCTAAAGCTTTATTGTGAGACAGTTTTGAAAAACGAACTGAAAATACTTCTTTTACACTTAGATATTTTTATTGTTTATCAGAAAGTTTATTCTATATACCTAATCAATTTCAACTTGAATAATATAAATAACCAAATTTATTTTGATACTTTATTAACTGCAACAGTCACACTTCTAACTATACATTGTAAAACAAGTCACCAAAGATTTATCAGTGACTCATGACCTGACCTTTCATACAGATCATATCGTTACCTTTGTCAGGCTAGGTGACAAAATTTTTTGCTAAAAATATTCTAAGTCAAGATCAGCTTGTATCTAATAGTTTATTTTCACTAAATAATAAGCTTGAATACAATAAACTAACAATAAATATTGAATAAATAAGGATTTTGGACATCAGAATATTTTGCCATTACATAACACTTGTTGAGAACAACTGATGTTATAAAAAAAAAAAAGTAAATATTTTCAAAGCTGTGCTTCATTAATGATTGTTATCAGTGTAATCATTGTAATGAATAACACCACAAAAGGGTGGGAACAAAAAGTCCTAATAATAAAACCTGAAACAGAAAATATCATGAGAGAAACAAGATATGACTATGGGAACAAAAGTTGTAATAATAAAACCTGAAACAGAGAATATAATGCGAAAAACAAGATATGACTATGGGAAGTTGTAATAATAAAACCTGAAACAGAAAATATCATGAGAGAAACAAGATATGACTATGGGAACAAAAGTTGTAATAATAAAACCTGAAACAGAGAATATCATGAGAAAAACAAGACATGACTATGGGAACAAAAAGTTGTAATAATAAAACTTGAAACAGAGAATATCATGCAAAAAACAAGATATGACTATGGGAAGTTGTAATAATAAAACCTGAAACAGAGAATATCATGAGAGAAACACGATATGACTATCTAGATTGCAAAATGATAAAATATGAGCTAAGAAATATTTATGTGTTAAAAATTGTTGGAATAGTTAGAATTATTATTTTTATTTAAATTTTGAAACTTTATATGTAGGTGTGCACTCAATACCTGAAAGCTGTTCACTTGTGATAGGGTTAAGCCATAATGAGCTTATATTATAAAAATTTACTTCTATATTTCAGTTAATGAAAACAAAACTTGTATTTCTAAAATAAGCCTGCGAAATAATTTTTCAAACCAGTAATGATGGATACATTGCAATATCACCTTAACACACATTAATCTAGATACTTTTCTTCCATAATACCAATATCTTTGTCATTTATAAATCTAAAATAGACCTGAAACACAAAAAACTCAGAAATCTGAAAACTTCTTTGATACCGATGAAGCCCAGGTTCATACTTCCTGCTCAGCTTGTAAAAGATTGTACAATATGTGATGAATGTAGTTTTAGGAACAAAAAGAAAATAATACAGGTCATAACTATCTTTATGATTCTTAAAATATTATGCACATGAATTTCTACTTTTATTTCAAGAATGGACAAACAAGTTTAAAATTACCAAGAACATACAATTCAGTGCAAAGTAATATAAAAATGACTACTTACTCAAACACAGAAGGTATACTGGAGGTCACAACTGATTCCCACAAGTGTCGCAAAAATCCTGGATTAAAGGCTAATGTATATAACAGCCTGCAATATAAACCAGTAGTCATAACAATCTCATTCAACTTTATCAATCTGACTTCAAATAATTGTGCTAGATCCTTATACCTTATATTATTTATTAATTACAGAAGTTTATGTAGATATTTAAAATTTTCTGTCTTCATTATCAGTGAGAAAAAAAAAGAGTTTAAAAGCCAGAATAAAAAGCATAATTTTGTTTTTGTCTTAGTGCACCAGAATATAAACTGTGAAAAAAAAACTGTTTTCTAAGTTTTGGGTTTTAACTTGTATAAAATCTGCTGTAAAAATGTGATCTCTCTTCTATATAAGATCAAATATTAATAATGGTCCTTTATGTACATTTCAAACCAAAAGAATAAAACTTTCTGAAATTTTACATATCAAAAAAACATAAGATTACCCTGAAAATATTATAGATATTCCCCAGAGACTTTCAGTCATGTAATCTAATATTCAAGTAGGTTAGTACACTGCAATACATTGCAAAATTAAAAACTTTAAAAGTTACAAGCCATGAACTGTCATTCTTTTAACAATATTAACTTATGTATTATATTTGTTATAATTTTTTTAACCTAGGTGTTCCTTGAAATACTGTAGGAGTCAGAAAGGAAAAACAAAGGCTGATATCAATCCCAACAGGCTTAACGTTCATCAGCACACTTTTGCAAAGTTACCTTGTGGAACACCTGAGGTCCAACTGAATCCCAGCACAAAATTACCATTATTGCAAGCTGTGGGTTGAAATTCCAAAAACCAATAGCATTACAACTTTTATTAGGGTTAGCATGCAATATTTCAATTCTCAAATTTTAATGACATTTGTTACCTATATCTGTTACATGCACTTTGCCATTGTTCTGAAGTGATCCATTTCTCAAAATATTACTTAATTGACATATTTTTTGCATTAGATTTATGGTGCATGTCTGCTTAGTTTCATCTTCTGGATGTTTTATTAGCAAGCTTGTTTAGATGTACATTCCAACTCCACACTAGCTAGTACTGTAAGTTCTCATTAATTTCTTTACCTCATTTTTTAAATAAAGGTTTTTTTCTAGTAGATTAGCTGAGAAAATGTATAAAATCAGTTGCTGTTTTGGATATGACAAAGTGAAATTAATAAAACTATCTTCCATGAGGTTTTATAATTACCGATTTATCTGTAAATAAGTTGGCATTACCTAAACTGATGAATTGCTAGTTTATGGTACGACAGCAGTACGTGGCACACACGACACAGAGGCACCAAAAACTCCTGGCTGCAGCTTTGCAGTTCAGCATCATGGATCAACACTTGGACATGTATAGGTTGATTCAACATAACTACTGAGTCTTCTGCAATTTTCTTTAGCTTTTCTGAATCTTTGTTCTACAAAATACATAAAATAAAATTATTGTAACATATATTTATATCAATATTTAAAAAAACAGTTACAACATTTCATGGCTTTAACCTAGGTGCAAGTTTCTTTAATAATAAAACTATAACTTAAAAAAATCATAACTTAAGTTTCAAAAGCAGATGTGTCTAGTAAATAAGAAGATAAGCCTTATAAGAATATGAGCTTATAAAAGCTTCACAACAACAAACAAATATTTTAGGATGGTGTAAAGAATAATCTATTTTCATTCATAAGTAACATTAATTATTGCATTAGTGAAAAAAGAAAACATCATTATCACTGCTCAAAGCAGCTTAAGTCTTTGAAAGCGACATTAATTAAAAGATCAGGAGGTGAACAAAGACTATAAATGTAGCAAAACCCACGTATCATCATCAAATGTGACAAGATAAGAGAGAAGTACATACTGATGAAACAGCTTTACAAAAATGTAGCAGTATAAGTAAAAATTGTTGGCTATAACAATTCATAATGAACAACCTTTGTGAAAATGTTGCTTGAGAATAATGTTCATGTTAAAGTAACATTTTTGGTAACCATCTTTGTAGGAACAAGTTTATTTCATATAAAATTATAATAATTTAAACATTTTATTATTTATAAAGCACTTAAGTTTTCTATAATGTGTTTGTTATCAAATATACAAGATGCTACAATCTGTCATTCTCTGCAAACTCACTATTAGATACAATGTGGAGTTCTCTTAGGTGATATAATATCAAAGTACCCAAGTAAGACATTGAAACTTTAAAAATATTCATTTGTTAATGTGTTATTTAATTTTTATGCTAATAAAAGTTTATTCTGCTTGCTGTTTTGTTTCATTATATAAACTGCTAAATACTTACAGAACTTACGTACTTAACTACGATGTTTTTAATCCTAGATTACTAAATTTTGCACTTAGAAAAACTTAAGTATCAAACAGAGAAACTAAACAGATTCAATCAAATGTAAACACTTAATAAACTGTAACCTGTAAACTGTATTACAAGGTTTGCTGGTACCATTCCAACTAATCACTTAAATTTAGGTTAAAAATTACAATAATGCATGATATTTTCATTCTGTTTCTAAGCAAATATTTATGTTCTGATCATGAAAAAAAAACTATCTTATGAAATTAACAAAAATATATTAATAAAATTTTATAAGTAATAATTTTGGTATTCTTCTGGCAAAAATGTCCAGCAGACTACAAAAATAATGTAACCATTATCTACCACCAATTCCTTTCCTAGAAAATATTGGGGACATCAATGAAATGGGGTTCCACCAACAACAATTACTTGCCAACAGCACTTTATAGAAGCAGTTAATTTAATGAACTGTTAACTGACAAATGTTTTCAGGCAGGTTATGAATTCTATAGGTTATTCCATTCTTTCTGTAAACAGCAATGAAATGGACAAAATGTTGCCGTGGGTAGAAGTTAAACAAAAAAAAAGAGGAGTAAGCAAGCATCAGTATAGGACTACTTTACTGTGGATACATTCAGATGACACGATTAGTAGTATTATGGATCAAGTTTTCCAGAAAATACAAGTACAGGAAAGCACTACAACAATTACACTGTAATTAAACAAGTACAGAAAAGCACTACAACAATTACACTGTAATTTTTTCATGAATTAAAAGATAGGTTATAAATAAAAGATTTTCCAGATTTCTTTGTTTTCTGTTTCTACAGGGGAGGGGGTCTTCTAGCAGATCATGAAACCTCTTCAAAAGATTTACTTTCTTTATCAGGTATAAAGGTATCTTTGTTTGATGATCCAGCGAATAAGGAAGTTGCAACCTCCCACTCTCTTCTGGATCTGCCCAATTTGGATTAATAAAGTTAAGTATCACATAAATATGGAGGGTGGAGGGGTAGGTGTAGAGGCAAACTTCAGAATCTTAAGTTATGGAAAAATACTATAGGAGTAACTATAAAAACACGCAGTTGTTGGTGAAACTTCATGTTAAAGTGTACAATATTATTTCCTGAATGTTTTGGCTATTTGAAGAAATCCTTTTTATATTCATACATTGAATCTTTCTTTCTGACCTGTTCTGACTTTTAAATGTGAAGGAAGTATTTAAAAGTTATCTTTAGGTTGCTTCTAATAACTTTAATTTTTTTTTTTAATTTGTGATTAATTTCCACATGGCACTGTTAAATTCTCAATTACAGAAAATTAAAAATCATGATCTTCTGATAGATTAGTGGTTTGTATGACATACATCACAATAAGACAATTTTTAACAAGTCTTTCTTCTGGGTCAACAAAAGTTTTTGGTAAGAACATAATAGTATTTTAAACACATGTTGCTGCTGATGTGGCTTGTTTCTCATACCAAATATAATAAGATCAGCTGTACATGAAACACAAAAACCTGGGTTAAAGTGCCAGTTATGTCAGTAATATAAAAATATCTTACTGGAAACCTGTATAAGGGTCAGTTATGAAATATAATTTTAAAACTACTGTTAGTCTTATTATGATGTAATTTCACAAAAACCACTGTTCTGTATATCATTCTTTGCTAGTATAAAATATGTGCTAAAATAAGTTTCACAAAATTCTGTTTCTGACAATTATAAGCTTAAGGTTATAGGAATTTTTAAGAACCACTAAAAGTTCTCAATGATTGCTAGCTCAAACTAATAATCAGCAAGAAATTTTAGTCTTTTATGCTCAAAAGCTGTGAATACAATAGCATCATGTGGAAATAAGTCACACCTTTGTAAAATTTAAATTTGATGCAGTCACCAGAAACAAAGCAACCTTAAGAGTTTTTAATACTAAATAAAATTTTATAGATGAGATGTTTTTAAAATGGTTTCTTTTACCACACAACATCAGGTTAAGATGTTTAAATTTGACAAGTATGGCAAAATTGGCCAAATATGGAAACACTTGGAAGTTGCAAGTCATTTTGTTTATTAAATATATATTTGAGTTTATTGAAACACACACACAAATATATGATTTCCTCACTGTAAACATACTATAACTATCAGACAAATTTATCTTGACCAATAACAGTGCTGGGTAAATATCTGTAACCTGACAAAGATAAGAGTAAAACCATTCTGAACCATGAGGTCAGTGTTCACCAATAAATTTTTTATCAGTTTTGCAGTGTTTCGTATGACTTATAGTGGAAATTTAGATGTTGCAATTAGCAATATAAAGTATTAAAAGAATTATATTAACAAATTTCAAACTAGTGATTGATTCAAAGTTGATTGAATATATAAAATGGAACTTTCTGATCATTATGAAAAAAACAAAACAAAAAACAAATAAACGTCTAAGATAAAAGAAAGATTCTTTACTTTTTTCATAAAAAAGCTTTTAGAAATATCATTACAAATTTTATTAACTTTTTTCATGCAAAAACTAAATACAATTTACAAAGTCTGTACCAGTTTCACGCAATTTACTTCAAAAAATATTTTCACTGTGAGAACATAAAAGACTGTTGGTCAGAATCTACTAGACATGGACTAATTACAGTCTAATAATATAATACACTGTTAAATTGTTAATATATTTACATGAACAAGACTCCTTGGAATTACAAATAGTTCTAGCTAGTTCTGAAACATTGAATAGTGAAAAAAGTCTGATTGTCATCACATGCACTGAAATACAACCTAGTACAGTGAGCCATTTCAGTTACTGATTTCCCAGTATGTACGTTTGTTTCTATAATTTTTTCCACCTGTATTATCAAATGTAAATGTATTAATAATTTTAATGTAATCTTTCTAAATTTCCGTATGTATCAATAACTTGCCATTTAAAAGCTTATGTTTTTTTAAAGCTGTTTCCTGTTTAAAGTTTTTCATGTTGATGATAGTAAAAAAAAAAACATTTCAAAACATTGGTAATTAGATTTTTTTGGTATTGCTGCATTTTTAATATTTCTTATAAATTTCAATCTTATGAATCATTTTATTCTCTACAAAGATGTCATCTAGTGTCATCACAAGTTTTCTTGCCAAATAGTAAACATTGCACTGTCTGTCTTTTTTTGTAAAATAACAAATTTGTTTTCATTAAATTGTATATTACCTATCATACACTAAGAGAATCTTACTAGTTTTACCACATGATATATGAAAGAACGTTTAATGATACATTTTAAGTAACAGTGTAATAAAGCAAGTTATCTCGGTTCTCAGTGATAATGCTAAGACCCTTTATTTAACAACAATTATTTTGAACAAAGAATTTCCTAGTTTCCCGTAACAATCTTATATTTTAACTTTTACTTAAGCTACTATACTTTCTTTTTCTATACTTCCACATGTAACCCAAAGGTGCTACCTCCAAGATTTATTTTCTACAATAACCTACTACTGGAATGGTACTAATCATATTTTCAGCTTGTTATAGGTTTTGTACTACACAGTGTATATAATACATTTTCATGTACTACAGCTGAGGATTAGAGAAGTAAATCCTAAGGTATTGTACCTGAAAATGCCTACCATATTAAATGAAAGGTATTTCTAAAATGTCTTTAAAAAACACAAAACAAGCTGAAAATAGGAATAAGTCTCACGTGAGAATAATAGAGTATCAAATTCCACTGACTGACTTGTCTCTAAAGAGTTAATGGCTTTCTAGAACTAATAAAACACTTTTACTTTACAATAAACTAATATTATACACAAAAAACAAAACAATGACTTGGCTTAGGTACTATGATAGTAAAATCTAAAAATGCAATACATTTCCTGCAAATGATAAACAATACCAAGAAACAAAATTATCTAGTCCATTAATTTATCTAGGAATATATTATATATTTTTTAAATTTCATTTTAAGAATAAACACTACAAGTTAATCTATTTATTATAACTGCAAACTGGAAACTACAAGCCTATTAGAAATTATGAAATAAAAAAGGTGTAAAACTCAAAAACATTACCTGTACATCTTCCATTACTAAGTCTTCTTCTTCTAAGCTATCTCTTTCATCAGATGTTATTCCAACCACTGACCCCAATACTGAGGGCAAAGCTGTTGTCAAATGTTGAAGGACATTCAGGTAGCGCACAACAACCGAACTACTGAGACTAGCTGTCAAAACAATAAATTGTGTGCAACAAGATTAGCATATCGGTAAATTAAACTAACTGTGAGATTTTAAAAATATCACTTAATAACTGAGGATGTTTACATTAACGCACAGTACAATACTGATCATGATCAGTATAATAATAACCTACAGAAGCTACACATTTTATACCTCTACATGTAACCCAAAGGTGCTACCTCGAAGATTTAAAACTTCAGAATGTTGAACGTCACAGTAATGTTTACATTAACACAGAGTACAATACTGATCATGATCAGTATAAAATAATAACCTACAGCAGCTACACATTTTATACCTCTACATGTAACCCAAAGATGCTACCTCCAAGATTTAAAACTTCAGAATGTTGAACGTCACAGTAATGTTTACATTAACACAGAGTACAATACTGATCATGATCAGTATAATAATAACCTACAGCAGCTACACATTTTATACTTCCACATGTAACCCAAAGGTGCTACCTCCAAGATTTAAAACTTCAGGATGTTGAAAGCCAAAATAATATCAAGACACATGGAAAAACTATCGTTATATATTTTAGAGAATCTGGTTGATTCTGTAAAGTACAGGTCTGTTTGGAATTCATGATGTTATAAAATTCTAATCAATGCTTTTCGTGTAGCTACCAGTTTGGCTGCCAATTTTGATTTCATTCCTTTAAGTTGCACACTTAATCCTTTTTTGGCCAAACCTTTTTTCACACCTTAGGCGATTTTAATTAGATTTATAATCACACAAGGTATAATACTGATCATGAGGAGTATAATAATATACAGTAGTTTCACAGAATATACTCCTACATATAACCAAAAGGTGCTACCTCCAAGGTAAATGAGGGATTCCCTCCCAATATTTCTATATAATTAAAATTGATTTAAGTAAATTAAATAAATTACCTAAATGCATGATAACTCAAAAACCAAGACAATGGTGTCAACCAATTTCACTGAGGTGACAGAGTTTCAAACAGAGTATCCACTTTTATAACTATCATTAATAACTAGTGGTAATTAAAAAATATATAATAATTTTAGTGTAAACAATGTTATCATTACCCCTTAAAGTTAGCTTTCTTACAGAAATTTAGTGTTCCTTTAATAAGCTTAAGTACAGGGTGAAACAGGAATTACCAACAAATAATAGATAAGCAATAAGCATTGCAGATGGAACCTTACTGTATTTAGAATTTGGTTATAAATACAACCTTCCTATATCTATTAAAACACTGCATTAAAAAACAACAAACAAACAAATAAAGAAAAAAAAACTTCCCAAAAAAAGACGTAAATCTAGGGATGGCTAATATTAATCCTTCAAAAACAATATAAAAAATATAGTAGGGATGGCATTTGCATTGTGCTTAATTTGTTATTATGTAGGGATGATGCAAATGCCATCCCTACCATCTTGATTGCATTGTTTTGAAGGATTGATATTAACCATCCCCACATTTATTTCCTTTCATGAAAAGTTTTTCTTTACTTGTACAATAATACTTAAGACTTGTGTAAATTTTTAAACAAGTTTTTAATTTATTGGTATTTGTAAACTAAACTAAATGATTTTTACACTGTCCAACACATCTGATTTTGACAATAGTACTTATCTCCACATGTTAACTATTGCTGCTTCTAAAATAAGATACTTCACTATACCTGTTTGTGAAGACATCAGATACAGGAGGCTGTACAGAAGCCATGGTGTAGGCTCCAGTGATAAAGACATTCCTTTACTATGTCCTTCAGTGTCCAAAAGAGCAGATATCAACGTGTCTGCTGCCAAAATATCAGAGTGCTGAGCAAGAGCTGGTAACAGAAAAAGCTCGACTTGTGGAGAAAATGGAGTTGTGAAAAAATCCTGCAGCAGTTTACACACAACATAGCTCCTACATAAATATATCATGTAATTAAACAATGCATTGTTTGACACACAATAAGCACAACAGCATACGTATCAAAAATTGTTTTATCTTCAAGTAATTTTAATACATAACTACATGTTGAAAGTATACATGTTTCATCAACTCAGGAAATGATTCCTCGATCATAATCATTTGTGCAAAAGTTTGTTACTTAATTATCCGAGTATCCATGGACACAACAATTCCATATTTAAAAACTTATTTGAGTAAGTCAGATTTAGAAGAATTAAGTCTCAGTTTACAAATGCAACTTGATATATATATATATATATATTTTTTCTTGTAATCTACCTAATATTTTAAATCTCAAGAGCACTTACAAGTTTTACACAGTTTTTTATAGTTACTCCCTCATTTGTCTAAAACTAAGTTGTTCCAACTACATAACATTTTTTGACCCGCATTACACAGTTGTTTTCATTTCATTTCTAACTATTATGCAAATTCTATATGTCCTAAAAATTTTGAGACATAACTTAGGCTTGTACACAGTCTAATGTCTGATAACTCTACCTATATTATTTTCAGTAGTAAATTATAACATGTTAAAGTTATATTCATGTACTAAATAGAATAAGATTTAATCATACTCCCTCAGTTAACTTTTATTTTCTTGTTTACACTAAGTATTTGTAAATAATTAAATGTACAACATACTAAAAGTAATATTTGCAATTTTCAAAAACTTGTATAAATTTCACACGCATTAAGTAGGATTTAGGAGTGAACACATCTGGGTTATTATTCTATAACTCATTTGTATTTTATTTTACTTTAAAACTTGTCAGTGAATAGGTCTAAACCTAATTATTACTTTCTCTGCTCTCTGCCAAAACACTGGCACTCTGTGGAATTATAAATACATTTCAGGCACCCATGTTCACATAATAATGTCAAGACTTTTTGTAGGATTCACCACATTTTTAATCTTAACAGTATTCACTACGAACCAATTATAACTTACTTTGATCTTAAGTTTTTACACACAATAAGTGGTCTAATGATGAGAGACAGAAGGGAAGCAGCAAGAGGTATGGGTGGAGTTGCTGACTGTTCAAGAAAGCCCGGAACTCTATTTTCCATTACAATTCTCAGTTTTCCAAAATACCCTGTAAAGGAAAAACAATATTGGTAGTAGAAGTACTTGTAAATGGTCAATATTTCCAAAATAGTTTTATCTAAATAAAGCAATAATATTAAATATATAAACAAGTGATTAATTGTCTTCTCATTACTAACCCGTAACAGTTTAAACTGATATTATCAGAAAGAGTTTAATTAAGTAGTGTTAGTGACATTTTAATTAAGTAGTGTTAGTGCATGCTCTTGTAACTGATAAGTGACATTTTAGTTTTATCTATTTCCAAAATACAACTTACTTTGAAATTTGCAGAACTAAATAAACAACAACAACAAAATTATTAACTTTATTATAAAAATACTAACTTTAAAAATACTTTAGGCCCACACCAAAAACCTAATATCTACTTCTAACAAGCATTAAATGAATAGTTGGAAACTGTTAGATATATATATCTATGTATGAACTTTCAGAACTATTAAGAAAACATCATAAAACTTTATACTTTATCTGTTATTTTCTCTACCCTAATGGTATACAAGATTCTGAAAAATCAAAGTATAATGAAAACAGGTTGAAAAATGTGAAATGATACAAGTTGTACTGTTCTATCCCTACTAATATTGACTAAAGTCACAAAGTACTTCCCCTGAGGGTTTCTACTTCTAACCTTTTCACATCTATTTCCTATGTTTATTTTACTGTTAGCAGCTGAAGTAGAAACCTGTCAGACATAAAGCAAGGAATCACCACTCCTGCCATAACAATATTTATGTAATGACAATGACACCATAATACTACACTATCAAGTGCAAACAAGTGCATATGGTGCAATTACCAGAACTTTCCCACAGACTTTATTGTAAATCTGGCTCCAAGAACACAGTGGGAGAGGGTTTAATTGCTTGTTTACAATACAATGGTTGCAATGAGAATTGTCTAAGGTAATGAAAGTGCTTGATGTTGTTTATGATATGGCTCTGTACAACGTCCAGACCAATCCAATAAATGTGATAGGTATTTGAATGTTAGTTATCCTCCCAGGGTAGTTGGAATTTAGTGGTATAAATGTACAAAGTGTTCAAGTGCTTATTAAGATGTACATGTATTATAATTATTTACTCATAAATGCTTCATTTTTAATTATTTTTCTTAAAAAAAATATATAAAAAACAATGACTTTTAGTACTTAAAATGTTACAAAACTTGTACTCAAACATCACACTTGCTAAGCCTCATTTATTCTCTCAAGTAGAAGGGGAAGACAAATTAATTTTGTAGACTTCAAAGATGTATTTTAGAAAACCATAAAATTGTCAACTCATTATGCTGGTACATATAGAACCATTGAAAGTTATATGACTTTCTAATTAAGCTACATGTAGGTTAAAAATTCTCATTTTTGTTCAGAGCAAGGACTTAGTCACCAAACTCCAACATTTCCAATGAAAGTGCAGCTTTCCCCTTCAAGCCAATTACAAACAACTGTCAGATATATGTAGTTTAGAATATGTTCTTTCTAGTGGTTATAAACATGCACTTAAGAGAAGTAGGCATAAGTAAACCAGAGGTTTCAAAACAATGGAGTAGTAGGTGTGGCTACCCTGGTGGGTTTGCAAAATATATTATCTCAGAAAATGAAAAATGTGGGAGATTCTTATTTTATATTCTAGTTTGTAAATGTCTGCAATATGAGCTTCAAGTTAATTAATCACTATAGATGTTGTATGGTAGGCATAATAAAATATAAACTTAGCAATAAGACAGGAGTACATGCTACATGACACACAAAATGGATATTATGCATTTAATTTTAATATTTTTCTTTCAAATTAAGAAACTGAAACATATATAGGATTTAATATTCAATTATAAACTATGTTTTGACATCCATTAATAATAAAGTTGTTTAATTCAGTTTTGAATACAACTCTAAAACTTCATGAAATGCACTCTTTGACCTGTCTGCAGCGAGTGGGTTAGCTCTCTCAGAACAAACTTGGTAGAATTGACCAATATCATAACCACTTTTGTATTCCTTATAGTTTAAGTACTAAAACTTTTAATACATTTGGTGTATCTTCACAAACTTTGGCAGCCTTTTAGTAAACATTACACGCCTTTTGTACTAAAAAAAAAATCAGATTTTATAATGAAGGATTTTACTAAAGAATTATCTGTGAATATAGATAGTATTTCTATATACTAGTCCAAGTGCTAAAAACTTTCATGTTAAAATTAATAAATACTTTTCTTCATCTCAAAAATCTCAAATTTTATTTGCATAATCTCTAAAACCTCCAAAATATATTTCAAATGTTTTTTTCTCAGAAAAACTATATTTTATCTTTTATTTTCTCTACCCTAATTTTATACAAGTTTGGTCAATTTGACTGACCTCGTAACCACCAAAAAAAAAAAATTCAAATAAATCTAGATTAGCTTTTTTTTCTTTCTAGAATGACTTTAAATTGTAATATGAAACACAATGTTTATCCTAAATAGCTTTCAACTCATAACAGTATACATCTTTTTATACTTAAATTTTATTGTTTTAGTGCCTTTTGAACCCTGTCTAATTACTATTCATGCCATTATAAGTTGCAAATCACTCGGTGAACATTCACCTCATGTTATGCTATCGAATTACAGCATGCATGAGCTACTTCGGAGTGTACTTCTTGAATAAACTATATTATATTATTAATATTTATTTCACCTAATCTAACCTGCACTAACACAAACAGTTTCCTATTTTTACATTTTAGCTACTTTTATAATAATAAATAAAAAATACACATGAAAAACAAGAAAAAAAAGTACTTACCTGGGTATTCATTTTCTTTTACTATCGACTGTCGATGACACTTAACCCTACTTTTTTTATACTAATGGTAGTACTGCACTAAATGATTTTTTATTTAGTTAAATAATGCACCAAAAAATACAGAATAATAATATGCAAAAAACAGACAATGTTCCATAACTATCACAATTTTTTTTGGCTTTCTAACTATGCGACAAGAGCTGTTAAGAATTCAACAAAGCTCAGTGTGTTTCTCAAGGGAATAAAGCTTGAAACAACAAGTTGCTAAAAACAACTATGTACAAAGTAGTCAAAGTTGTCAATTTTATAAAAGCTCGCCCACTAAATTCCTCCATCTTTAATGTTCTTTGTGATGAGATGGCTAGTGAACATAAACATTTCCTGCATTTGGATGTGTGCCAGTTATCTCATGGCAAAGTTCTCAGTCATGTGTTTGAACTGCATGATGAAATAAGCAAATTTTTAAGTGAGAAAAGTTTCACTTGAGCGAACTCTTCAATGAATTTTCTTGGCTGACTGTTGTGTCCTATTTATCTGACAAACTTACTCATTTGAATGAACTAAATTTAAGACTTTGAAGGGCAGCCATAACTATATTTAAAGTTGAAGAGAAAATAGAAGCTATAATAAAAAAGGTTTGATTTATCGGCACACCGTATTCAAAATGGTAATTATGAGTCATTATCAACACACAATGCATTTCTTGAAGAATACGAGAATAAACTTACCGATGAGGTGCAAAACATTATTATTCAGCATTTGCATAAGTTGAAAAGAGATTTTAAAATCTACTTTCCTCCTCCCGATTCCAATAGTAAGTGGATTGGAGATCCATTTAATGTGAACAATTTATGTGTTGAGAATTTAGTTGCAGTTGAAGAAAATAGCCGTTTTGATCTCTCGTGTGACGCTTCACTAAAGTCATCTTTTGGCCAAACTAACTTGACAGCCTTTTGATTACATGTGATATGTGATTATCCTGAACTGTAATTCGAAGCAGTAAAATATTTAATGTCATTTCCTACAACCTATTTATGTGAGCAAGGTTCCTCTCAACTTGCTTACATAAAATCAAAGTATAGAAAGATAATAAATGTGGAGACATATCTTCCTTTGAAACTGTCAGACATTGACCCAGAAATTTGCAAGAGTGTTTCAGCAAAGCAGTATCATAATTTACATTAGTTATAAGATTTTTTTAAATTTTCCATATTTAAATCTCTTTTTATTGTTCTTTTCTTGAGACAAGAATAAAGCTGTCAAAGTTTGGCAACCCCTGTCTTAAGGCATTTGTACATTCTTTATCTAATCCCTTAGGAATTTTCAAGTGTTAGAAAAACATATAATAATAGTATTTCAACCACACTATATTCACCATAATCATTAGACAATGAGTTTTGCTCAATTCACAATTCTTTAAGCTAGCCAGGATGCAACAAAGCAGTGGTCAGAACACAATTTATATATCTTGTCATTACAACAACAATTGATATGGTGTTAATGTCTTTCACAAGCTGGCCTAATGCTATTGTTTTATGACAAGTACAACTAATTATGTAGAGCCACACTGTATTTTGGCAAAGGATATAAATATACCACATAGTGGTTTTTATTTCATCTTCAATTTACCAAACAAACCAAATTGAGTTTCAGGAGCATTCAATGGTTATTATGTTTTATATTTGAGATGTCCATGTCTCAGATATGATGATATTTAGGACTTATTTATTCTTCTGAATTCAAATGCAAAAATGGACAGTATAATGCTGCTCGAGTGGAAATGGTAAACATACAAAGAAGTGTGATAACTATCCCAACTTAATGTTTACAACTGGCTGCAGTTATTATTAACCATACCTTCTCTGGTTAGGTGAAGCCACAACTTTTCCAAAGGTGAAACAACAGTGTGTGTAGTCCCTTCACTTGTATGCATGTACATTTTAGGATCTGTGAACACTTCCAACAAGCGTAGCGGCACAGCTATAGCAGCAGATGAGGTGACTACAGTTGCTAGGTGACTGTCAGAAGAAATATATAAAAAAAGGATTTCTTCATCAAAAGACAAAAACATAGCAGTAACCTGTATTCAAATGCAAAATTACATTTATTGTATTTGCCTAAATATAATGCACACCCAATTTTGAAAGATTAAATTTAAGAAAATTTGATTTTTTACACATCAGTTGTACAAAGTTTATTGAAAAGTTTATACATGATAACACAAAGCTAATCACTCATCTTGACATAACTCTTCACCATCACTAAAACTGTTGCTACCATTGGATTTGCTTCCATGAACCTTTGCTTCATCCTCTTTTGATTCCCACAGCATTTCATCATCCATCCCATCCATTGCATTGGGTATGAAACATTTTTTGAAACCTTTAATGATTTTCAGTGCTAGCTTCTCATAAAATACCTAACAAAATTGAATGTGCACAAATATAATGTGCAGTCAGTTTTTTCACGAGGTATTTTGAGGGAAAAAAGTGCACATTATATTTAGGCAAATATGGTATGTTAACTCCTTCAACACAGGTTCAGTCCCTGGGACCAACCTCGTAACCATTTTGCACTTGTTATAGTTTTCAAGCTATAACTTTTAAATTAGTATGCATTTGTTCACAAAATTTGGCAGATTATCAGTAAACATTACAGTGCTTTCAAAAATATCAAATCTTTTTATTAAGTCTTAAGGTTTGTTAAGCAATGTAATTTTCATTTTAATATAAAAAATACTTTTATGCATCAGCAAATTTTCAAATTTCACATGCAAAATCTTTATAATAATGTCCAGATAATTATCAAATGTTTCTTAAGAAATAAACTTTATATCTTATCTATTATTTTCAGTAACGAATCTCTGTGAGAGTTCAGTAGATTTCACTGATCTTGTAACCATCATAAAAAAATTATGAAATAAATATAGATTATGCCTCTTTCATTCTAGAATGATAAATTATAACAAGAAAACATAAATGTTTAGACTAAATATCTTAAATCTCATAACATTATATATATTATATATATATATATATATATATATATTTATCATTTTTATTACATTGACCTTATAGCTGTGCCTGGTTAACAATACAGAAGTTACAATGACATGGCACACATGCTTTTATATTACTGTATCCAGTAATATAAGACTGACCTTTAGTCTTTACAAAGTAACTTATCTTGGCTGTGTTTTAGTAGACTGTTATTTTGTAAACTACCATCACATTTCAATTATTATACATTATATATGTATATAGATTATTGCTATTTACAAACAAGTTCTTAAACTAATTTTTCTTAAAACATAGAACAGTAAATAAAGAAGTAAAACAAACAATTATCTTGTCTAGTTACAACCTTTGTACTTGGTTGCTGCTTGACATAGGTTGCTAAGCCTTTTAAAATTTTGCACGTGGAGGATATGAAACAAAATAATTTTTTAGGTTTATATATATATACAGTTGAATAACTAAAAAATCATAAACTACTATAGAATTCCACTATAACTTATCAAGCTTAGCAACTAAGCTGTATTTGAGACTAAAGACACAACCTACCTCCTTGAAATCTTGGTTCGAAAGAACGAGATGGTATCCTAACACATGAAAATGGCTAAGAAAGCCACTAGGGAGACATTTTGAGCTTTCGATTAATTAATTATTCACATCATATATTGAAGTAAGTGTATATAAGAGACCATTTCCAAAAATGGAAAGAGGTGAGTGGAGCCACTGTGTTTGATTTATTACAAGTGATATATAAGCAACAAGAAAAGACAGGACATTCTTATTTCATATTCTAGCTTGTCAATATTGGTAATTTAAGTTCCTAATTCATATGAATCTATAGACTTAGTATTTTGACATCACAAACATCTAATCTGAACCAATGCTGCATTCAACATACCACATAACACACAAAAATTGATGTTTAACTGTGTTTTTAATATTTACTTTTAAATTAAGAAATTGAGTAATGCGTAATACTAAAAATTGAATTATAATCTACAGTTTCATATCAAACTTAGACATAAATTCATGAAATAGTTCAATAACATTTTGAATGCGAGTCAGCAAACGCGATAACATGGCCTTTCACCCGTGACCTGTATGGAAAGAGTTAAAGGTGCTCATTGGTCAGGATAGGGTTAATAAATGATTAATAAAAAAGTTACCATTAAACTTACCAAGAAAAACATTTAACAGCTGACTAGCATTACCACTCATTCTTGTTAATAAACTTACAGAGCTACCAAATTTAATTTGTTAAATGAAAGACTGCAAAATATAAATCGAATTTACTAGCAATTTCAAACACATTCACTTATACAACTCGTAAGCTCTCAGAAAATCTATAATAACTACGTTACAATGTAGCCCTGGGTGTTTAGCTTTAATAAAACTCCAAGGATTAACCTATATTTCTCAATAAAATATCCTATATAACTTTCAACTAGGAAATAAACAAGAAGATACTGTTTATAACTTTAATAGAAAAATTACACTTACTTATATCAATATAATTGGAATAACATGTGTGTAAGTCTGCAATCACAATATACTTATCAAACTTACCTCAGATTCAACTTGAGCAGTTTCTGAATAACTGTAAGCCACAAATCTGGTTGTGATGCAAAACTCTGAGATAGTACAGCACTTCTCAAACATAATTGCCCTAACCAAGCCTATTAAGAAAAAGAAAATTGATTTCACCTTTTGTTTTTTTTAAGTGTTTTCCACAATTTCTATCTATATTCTTGATAAGTCAATAGAAGTAACATGTCTAATTCATTACTAGCTCTCAATAATTAAAGTTATTATGCCATCTGTATTAATCAATAACATAAACCCTAATTCTTCAACTCCTCAAGGTCAATACACTACCAATTCTAAAACCCCCCAAAAAAACTACCACCATTTAGGCTAGCAGTGTTTGTGCAATAATAATTTGTGTAATTAATAATTTCTTAAGAACTTGTATAAACAGTTGAATTATTCTATCACTTTCTGTAGTTCTTCAGGAATTAAATTTTTCTTCAACTTTAATAAGAAAAAAAAGTTTGTCTGTAGTTTCTAAAATACTAAATGTGTAAAAAACCTAGAAACTGTGTTAGTCTAATTACTCCCAAAGCCTACCAATATAAAATACTGGAAATCAAAAACAGACAAGTGTTCCAGACTTTACAATTAAAGTCTCAGGATTTTTAAAATAAAATATTTCATACTTAAATTTAGTTATTTATACAGAAAGTATCACTTAAGCTTACCAATCTGCTTGCATCTTCTGAATGCGAGTAGAAAAATCCTATCTTATGAATTAAAGTTCTAATCATATGTGAAGTCTGTAACTCAGTAGACTGTTGACCACACAGCTTGCAAATTTCATCAAACTCCTTTCTTTGTATTGCTTTCTATATAAACATACATTAAAATAACAATTATGGTCACTATACATTGTTCATCACCTGAATATTGTTCTTAACATAACTGGAAAAAAAACCTGTAAAACTGCATTGCAGATATTATTATCATTAGATAATGAAATGGAAATTTACTCTATTTATAACAAGAAAAAATTACTTCATTTCATAATAAAACATTTTGTTCACTAATATTAAACCAATAAACAATGGTAAGAATAATCAGAGAAATTTCAAATATCTTTTTGCTTTACTTCCTTATCTCAATATACTAAATCATACCCACCAGTGAAAACTAATGCATAAAATTATTTAAAAAGTACATGTACTTGATGACGAGATTCATTCATCCACCCATCCAAAAATGCTTGAGCACAAAGAAAAACAAAATTCTGATTTAGTTCAAACAGTAGATGATATCTCACAAACACAGGAATATAAAGCAACTTGACATTAATCACATTGCATCATTTTATTGATGTGTTGTAAAAAACTGTAATTTACATTCAGCTTACCTCCTAATTCAATACATGAAATTTTGTTCTGTGTAACTTAGTGATGATTCTTAAGTGAATTAGAAGAAATATTGAATGTAAAGTCAGTTTTACAGCAAATGCATAAAATGATTTAATGTGAATAATGCCAAGATGCTATATTTTGCTGTGTTTGAGATAGTTTTTTCTTTCTTTAGTATTTTTGGATGAATTTCACTAATTTTTGTGTTACATCAACCGAAGACACTTACACTGTAATAATTACTTAAAGGAAAGCAACTGATACATGGATGAAATATGCAAATTAAGGTACTGCTAATATTACAAATATTATCATGTAGGTTACATGGAATTGGAAAGCGTGTTACCTTTAAGGATGACAACATGTTATACACAGCCAGAAGCAGCAGTGACACTGAATAACATTCTCATTCTCAGTTTAACTATATAAAATGAACTCTGGAAACAAGAGTGACCAAATAAAGGGGAGGAGGGTATTTTTCATTTTTATTAACCCTTTCACTACTGCCTCATTGGACTACACCAACCATGTGACCCCATAGTGACCACAGTTAACATACTATAACTTTAACATGTTCTGTGTATCTTCATAAAATATTTCAAGCATTTAGTAAACATTAAGTCTTTTGTAGACAAAAAATATCCAAATTTTTAATTAAATATGTTTACTAAAAATTTTTCTGTGAATACATGGAGTCAAAGAGTTGACTGTTCCAAATACAAAGTGATTTTCATGTTAATGTTAAAAATACCTAATCCTCCTAAATAAATAACAAATGTTTCATTCTTAAAAAAACTATATATTATCTGTTCCTTTCACTACCCTAACTCTATACAGGGTCAGGCAAATTAACCAATCTTGTAACCACTACAAAAGTTTAAAGGTTGAAAAATGCAAAATAAAGTGAGTAGTACTGTTCTATGTACCATCCTTTTTAGTACTAGCCATCAAGTTCCTCTCCCGAGTGTTTCCACTTTTAACCTTTTCACATCTATTTCCTATGTATATTTTACTGTTAGTAAAGTAAAGTTACTGAAGTAAAAACTTGAACACAAAGTAATAAATCACATGCTCCTGCCATTACTGTTTACATGACACCATAATATGGCATTGAACTTTATCACAGAGTTTATTGTAATCTCCACAGTGAGAGATGATTTGGTTTGTTTACAGTACAGTGGTTCCAAGGACGACTGCCTAAAGTAATAAAAGTCCAAGAAAAAATATTTATGATATGACTTTGTACAAAGTATGGGCCAATTCAGTCATGACCATCTGAAACTGCAAGTGCATAACTCAAGAAATTGAAATAGAAGATAAAATAATTTGTAACTAAAGTAGATAAATTAATAAAGTAAAAACTTGTGGATTAGTGAATCAAACTGTGAGAAAAAACCCATCTGTTCAATAAGACTGCCAATCGAGAAGTGGTGAACATGTGCAAGATTAGAAAGGGTACTAGTTATGATAGAAGTAATGTCACACTCCTATTGGTGGAGGGTTTTTGCATAGTCATTTGCATATTAGTATGCAGAAATAAGTGGGAGTATCATGGCTAGTGGCTAGCAAACATTTGCACCAATAGAAGATAGTACAAATCGAGAAACCTTTTGCTGAGAGGGAGGTAAGATATCATATCAGAAGTGTTTTTTACCTTTTATACCTTGACCTTCCAGTTATTTGCCTTTGCCATCACAATAAATAAATTACAAGGTCAGGTATTTGACCATGTACAAATATTTCTTCAAGGATCAGTTTTTCAGATGATCAACTCTATACAGCTTTATCAAGAAGCAGATTTGTATTTAACATAAAAACATACACAAGTCCAAATTCTAATCAAGGACCATTTGCACATGATGGTAAAACATACACAAAAAAAAAAAAGTTTTTACTGAAATACTAGAATGTGATGCTCAAATAATCCAATAAATCAATAATATTATAAAAGAATTCATTAAAACTAGGGAAAATACTACTACTTGAAGTAGTTTGTGTGTGTGTATATCTGTTTCATTGTCAAATATCTTGATGTATGTATTTTGTATTTGTCATTTAATATTTATTATTTTATTTGTTTTTGAAAAGATTAATACTAATGCAATTCCAAGAATTCAGTACTAACATGTACATCAAATATTTCCCATCCATAAGATTTTTCTGCATATTTGGAAAATTTAATCTAATTTTAACAAGTAGCATTTTTTCACTTTATATTTCTTTATGTGTATATGCTACAACCCAATATTGTGTGTGTATTTTAATGTATAAAACACAGTAATATGACATAGAAATAATTTAACTAAAGTTTTAACACATAGATTATACTTCATTATGATGCTAACAACTGTCAGTAATGAAAAAAAAAAACCTCACTGGGTAACATTGTATTCTCAGAAACCCACTCCTAAATATACTTAAGACAAATTTTAAACAAAGTCAAGTATAATAATTAATAATTTTAATTATTTAAAAATGATATTCATACAACAACTACTTAATTCAAACTAATATTTATATTATAACTCGATTAATGTTACTTTGTTTGAAATTTAAAACTTATTAACTCTATTTCCAGCAACTATCTATGAATGATTTGTATGTGTTTTGTCCAACATAAAAACTGTTAAGAATGGAAGAGATTTCTTATAGCATTATTCAACTGATTTGTCAGCTTACTATACCATGACCATCATACTCAGAAACATACTAACAATACCAATTCTGTTTGGTTTGATCATTAGAAAAACATTTAATATATTATTTATAGTATTGTGATTTTTTTATATTTTTCACACCACTTTGTAAAGTTGTAATTAAGTCTAAAACAACAAAAAATTTCCTTGTTAAAATTAAAGATAATAATAAAGTAAAAAATTATAGGATAATATTAGTAAAAAGTGATAGAGTGCATATAATTAACATAACATTATAATATTAAATTGTTACTTGATATAAAATACATACCTCTTTCACTCTTGCTAAATGCCCCCTGACAGCAGCTTGAATTGTGATAGCAGACTGCCATCTTAACCTCGACATCTACACAACCAAATATTTCAATGTTTTTAAAAATGAACACACATTAAAGTACACACACTCCTAGAGAAGAGAGCAGAATAATTACTTGTTCAGAGCATATGTAATTAGCTCACTTTCTTTCTTTTAGAAATATCACTTTTTTTTAAATAAAATTATACACAATATACTTGGTCAGAAAATTAATAAAATATTTCTAGGGTATTATGCATTCAATAAATTGCAAAGTTTTTAAACATAGATTGAACTTTCCTCTGACGGTTTGTCAGTTAAAAATTACAAAATTATTAAACATTTCAAGTCAGCCTCCTACTGAAGCTGATTGTTGCATATTAAAAATGATTAATGCTTTAATAAAATATTTTGTTTTGAAACTTTTAATTCTTTTTACTAGCTGCATGATATTCACTTCTTTATTAGACTGGTTTGAACTTGACATTTCCTGTTATTTGCATATTACCCATATCAATGGCTTGAAAACTATAAGAGCAATTGATTCAATCATCCTACAGTGGTTGCCACTGGCATGGGGTGTCTAATTGGTTAAAAATAATACAGATACCATTGTCAAATAAGAACATTTATATCTGAAGAGTACAGAGATTCCTGAAAGAGCAAGGAAGTTAAATTCAAGTTACAATTATTATTCTCCGCAAAGTTCAAACAGAGGGTAATGCAGAAAATTGACAGCAGAAACTGAGTGTAAATGAGGCAAGTTTCTAGGCAGCAGAAACTTGCCAAAAATTTGAGCTGGGGGTTGTAGTGGGATGCTTAAAGTGAAAAAACTAATAGATACTTTTAACTATTATTTTATATTTATGTGCATCTACTCAGATGAGTTTTGAGGTCATGCCAAAATACCAAAAGACATGATACAGAGATAAAATCTAAGCCAAGCTTTTTATTTTTATTATTATTTATTTTTTACTTATTATTTTGATTCTTGGCTTAATTTTTTCAGGACATAACTTTTTTGAATTTGCGCACCAAAAACTTAGCACCCAAAAGCAGTAACCGCTCTTAACTCATTGACTGCAATTCTCCATATAGAGTACAGTCCACCTCCAGCAGTTGAATGCTGTATGACTTGCAAAAATTCCATGCACATTTAAAGCAGCCACAGTCAAAAGATTAAATTTAGTGTGTACCCTAACAAAGAAAAATACATGTTTTATTCAAATATGCTTGATGGCTGAATGTATTTATTTCACTAACCATTATGATCACAGAATTTCTCTCTCTTTTCATATTAGTATGGAAGCTTAAAAATTTTCACCTTAGAAAATTTCCTCAATCATGTAAACAAAATATTTGGGGTAGATTCTAAATCAGGCCTCAACAAATATTTTTAAATCTAGGAGCCAGCCCAAACACTTAGGAGCCAGGACCAATATATAAAAGTTAAGGAATATATTTTGAGTCGGTTTTTGTGGTTATGGTACGAGACACAGTTTTACACTGAAAAACAAAGAATCCACCATTAAAATCTTAGAAACAAAGTTCAATTTTGGATTCAAAGATCGCAAAAATAGTTCTGGACTTCCAAGAGTCCAGAACTGTTTTAAATTCAAGTTCTTTTTAGCACATCCCTACGCATGAACAAAATGGGAGAAAATACTAGGCATCATGATGAAATTTTGATCATTATGGCAACCTGGTGCCCAGGACTTGAGGAGGCCTGTTCTAAATGTATATGAAAACAGAATAAAAAAACACTACATAGTGTTGGAAAATAAGTTAAACAGCTTATTTTCTAGATTTAAAGTGCTAGAGAAATAGTTCAATGAAATGACATTTTGACAGAAATGTTTTTCACAGTACACCAAAGCATGCGTTATTAAGATAAATTTTTCAAAGCATAATATAATGACCAAAAGTTGTTTCTTTTACCTCTCTCTGATGACGTTCTACTGCTGCTCTCTGTAGTAACTCATCTCTAGGAACCTAATGAAAAATATATATTAAACAGAACATTTTCTTCAACCTAAAAATAAATGATTTCACTACATCCACGAACCTTGGAATTTGTAGTTTAAGCACACTAATCATTTGGTGATGCCCAACTTGTATCATAATGGAAGGTGATGTTAGCTAGATTTCTCATGTTATGGTAAAATTATTAAAATTTGCCATGTTCTAAATATTATCCAGGCCTATAAGAAACTTTTTGTACAGTTGTGAACACAACAATATTTGTTTAGCGCTTGTAAACATAGCATTATAGGCAAATATCTCCAATGATTATTGTTTAACAGTTGAATTACGAAGACTAGACTAAATGCAAGAGAAATACACTTCTCAACAAGAATTTTAATAAATGTTTGTTTTACTACTACTATTATTGGTTGTGTTTTAAGTAGGCATTTGTCCTAAAATATATTTAAAAGTAAATAAAAAATACAATTAGATCTCATTACTTTGCTACCGTATTTGTTAGATGGTAACAAGCTTCCATGGAAAATATCAACAAGTGAATAGTGTAATTTATCACAAAATTAATCCTCTCGCTACAGGGTCAGTGGATTACACTGATCTCGTGACTCCAAAGTGACCAGAGTTTCCATACTATAAATTTTAATATTTTATGTATCTTCTGGAAATTTTTCAAGTTTTTAGTAAACATTACAAATCTTTTGTAAAGAGAAAATCAGAATTTTTAATTAATTATCGATAACTAAATTTGCCCATGAGTGATGTTTACATTAAGGTTAAAAATACTTTTCTTCATCTGAAGATTTTCAAATTTCATTTGCATAATCTCAAAAAACTCCTAAATAAATATCAAACTTTTTTTTAGAAAAACTTCATATTTTATCTACCCTAACGCTATAGGGGGGGGGGGGGCAATTGATTTTATTAACCTGGTAACATCAATAAAAAATTAGAAAATAAATCCAAATTACCCTTTTTTCTTCATAGAAGAACTGTAACTTGTAACAGGAAACCACAATTATTTATCCTAAATAGCTTAGAGCTCATAACAGTGTACATCTGGTTATTTACTTTTATTGCCCTTTGAATTGTGTGTAACCAATAATTCTGCCACACAAGTTCAAAATCACTCAGAAAACGTGCAGCTCATGCTACTATATCGAATTACATATCCCACAAGCATAACTTGTGAAGAATTATTATCATTTTTCCTTATCTTACCTAATCCAACCTAATAAATTTATAATTTTTTACATTTTCATTACTTTTGTAATAACACAGGATAACCATGAAAAACAAGAAATATAGTACTTACCTGGGTATTTTTTATTATTTTGCTTTCGACTGTTGATGAAACTTAAGCCTAATTGTTTTTTTCTTTAATACTAATGGTACTGTATACTAAGTATTTTATTTAATTAAATAATGCATCTAAGAACACAGAATAATAACATAAAAAGCAAACAATATCCTATAACTATCAATTTTTCTGGCTTTCTTAATATGTGATAAATCCTTTAAAAAGTTCAGTTAGGTTCATCCATGTGATTTCCATGAGAAAAATACTTGAACTGAACAATGAAATAGACAATGCCCTTTACAGAAAACAATGCAATATAATATGTGATTTGATAGATTAAAACTTTATATTTCTATTGGTTATAAATAATATAGTATAAATCATCAGAAGGAAATATTGGCAATTTGTGAGAGAGAATATAACAGGTAGGTGTGGCAAGTGTGTTTGATTTTCTAGTTTATGGCTCCCTAAACATGTAAGAGTGAAGTCTGTAAAAAGTATGCTTTGCTTAAGTAATGTCTATATGATAATAAGTAATATATATTAAATTGTTAAATTCCATACTTCTTGAAGGTGTGGAAAATAAATTAGAGAAGAGGGAAGACCTAGAGAGCAAATGTCACAATTCTCTTAATAGAGAAGATTGAGAATTCTTTTAAACATTTCCTTATTAAATTACAAATTTAAAACTTATATAGTATTAAAGCTTGATTTATTAACTACATTCTGATGCTAAGTATATTCATATACAATGATAATAAAATAGTTTAATTAAGTTTGAATGTAACTCTCTAAACAGTCATGGCATGTGCACTTTAACCTGCTTGTAGCAACAGGATTATATACTGCAAGTATGAATATATCATGAACCATGATGGTGGTTCATAACAGGGATCACAAGGAATTGCACAAAACTCTATTAGAATGTTTGGGCAAAAAGTACCTTAAACAGTAAAGGTTCAGTTCAAATAACACTTTAAAACCTTTAATATTGACTGCTAAGGCTGTACACATATAAAAATGCACAAAAAAGCACACATGACAGACTTACAAGGAAAAGAAAAGCTGCTCAAAATAGCCCATTTGTAATTATTATTGTTCTTATTCTCTTGCCAGACTACAACAAAAATACCTTGGTATATTGTACCCAAACCTTTTGTAGAATACTAAATAAGGTACTGCGTAGGTCATAGGGGTATTGAAAAGTCAATTTGTTTCTTCTATATGTTACATAAGCTAAAAAACATCATAATTCTAGTGTAAACAATGTTATCATTACCTCTTCAAGTTAGCTTTCTTACAAATATCTGATGTTCCTAAGTGCAAGGTGAAACAGGAACTACCAGCCAATAACAGATGAATATTAGATGACTGTAACATGTAGATACTCAATTGTACACTATACATACAATCAGTGTCTTTAGGGAGCCAACCCATATATTATATATATAAAGTGAAGGAGTAAAAAAAAAAAAAATACACATTAAATTTTGTTACACACATTTGTAGAATAATTACTTTAAAAGACACAAAAGTTTATTTAATGTTTTAGATGTACATGTTTTATTTGAAAAAAGCTGCTTTTCTACTGGTAAAATTTTATACCCACTTAGTGGGAGTTGCATCTTCGTCTAGGCATATATTTGCCCATTGTTATGCATTATAGATAGAGAATTTAGTTACACAGAAACTAAAAATGCTGACTATGTTCTCAAACAAATCTTCATGACAATCTTCAGCTACAGCTTAACATTTTAAATTTCCAACTAATATGATCAAATAGTCAATAGCTACAGTAAATCATCATGAACCATATCAGCTACCATAAAGTAATCCTTTACCCATACTTGAGCATGAAAAAAAAAAAGCCAGTAAACAAGATAAATAAAAAATTTGGAATTCAAAAACCTGCAAATAAGGATAATAAAAAATCAAGCAAACAAGGCTGGAGATACTGTAGACATTATTTACTCAAACTACAAATCTCTATTTTGACTTCATCAAATATAATTCTAGGTAACAGCATGAAGCCAAAATAGGAGTAAATAGGAGTTTGTAGTTTGAGTAAATAATGTCTACAGTATCTCCAGCCTTGTTGCCTTACTTTTTTTACAATACCTATTTTCAGGTTTTTAAATTTACAATATTTTATTTATCTTGTTATAATTTACTCTTATCTATTCTTCAGTGATACAAATTGCAGGATACATTTCCAGGTCATTTGAATACATGAATTAAACATGTACTCTACTATCAAAGAAACTTAAATCAGTGAATGTTCCTTCAATAAACTATTTCATAAAAGTGCATTAATCAACACAATATAATACTGTACATAGTACAATCCAACTGCCTGTTATGTTTCATGTTTTGAAATACTATTACAATATGTTATTTCTTTGCTATTACTTTTCACTTAAAATTATGTTTTACTAACAACACCTGGGCACAAAATATGGTAGAAAATGAATTAATAGGGATCATATTGTATTACATCTACCAAATTTCCTGCAATTTCAAGTTTCATATTTCAGATCTTGTATGTACGTGTATGCCACCCAAATTACATGGTTTATGTCATGACATTTGTGAGCAGTGACCCATCTTACTGTAATATACTGTGAGATGCAAGATATTTTTGAGGTCCTTTAATTAAAAGAAGAAAATCTGGGCACTGCATGTGTGCAAATGTGTGATTTCCTCAGTTATTTTACCAACTAGATAGAACTTTCTCAAAGATTTTTCATATAATATACATACTGTTTTGCAAGACCCACACCCCTTAAAATTTTATACACTACAGTGTAGTTTTCACTCACGCTACATTTGTCTAAGGGTTGATAAATGACTATCGTACAGTTTTTCACTGCAACTCACTTTATGCTAGATAACTATAAAAATGTTAGTTCAAGAAAGATAATTTTTTAAAGATTATCTTAATACAGATATAAAACTTGTGATTTACAGTACCTTCTTGCTAGCTCCACCCAAAGAAACTTGTGGTCGCCTTCTAAAGTCTCCTTCAAAACTATACATATTAACACTATACACAAAAATTCATCGGTTTTGTTTTTCAGTTTCTGCAAAATACAAGACAACAACTTATTAATTAACCTTAACAAATAATAAAAAAGTGCTTGGAGAAATTTATAAGAAACTTACCATCTTCTATATGCACTCTACAGGGCGTCTGAAAAGTCTGGAATCATAAGTGATATGCAGCATTTCTTAATTTCAGATATGTGACTGATTATGGCACTGTCAAAGCATGAGAAACTCAAGCTAATCTTGCTGTTAAACCAAACTTGTTTTGAATTACAAAGACAGTATGTGGAGCTCATTCTATACAATTCGTAGACGTGCCTATAATTTCAGACTGTTCCGACACCCTGTATATAACTACAAACTAAAAACCATTTATTTTGTAGGTTAATAAGCAATCAAATACCATGTATGACAATAAAACAAAAAACGATTATAAAACTGCAAAAGTAATTATTTTTTCTTAGATAAAACATAACACTTTTTGAGTGAAAAGCTTACCTTCACCAGAAGTAAATAAAGTTGATACCTATGTTATTTCATATAGTTTCACTTTTTTTTTTGTGAAGTAAATCATAAATTAATAACTTTAATTCTTGAATGTAACCAGACTTTCTTTTTTGTTTACTGTGTACTTGATAACAGTAGGACTACTTAATCCTCAAACTAACAACTTATTTTTATACAATTCACAATATGTGGACCCCATCCATAATAATCATACTGAGTAATTTTATGCTTACCTGTTACAACACTTTCAAAAATGACTACAATAATTGGGTGAAATTGCTATTTTCTATGTAAAAATACATGGTGGACCCTAGCAGTAATTAGATTAAATGCAATCCTGACAGTCTGTTTACATTTTTTGAGTAACAACTGTGATTTTTGGGCTTATTTAAGTTATAAATAATAGGAGATACCAATTCAAATTTTTTGTTATTAATACAATAGTAACCAAGAATTTGTATGCAGCTTACTTGATCTCTGAATGGAATACATCAAACAAATGTCTTATTTGCTGCATGTATTTAGATGCATTATATCACAGTTAAGTGCATTAAAATAACCAAATAAATCAAATTGTATTTAACATAAATATATATACATACACATGTAATATGGATGCATCTTAAATATGCACTAGAATTCACATCATTGTTGTCTCCAATAAGTAAATGTATATATATATACAATAAAAAACAACAGCACTGGTTCAGAAAATAACAGTAATGTATTTAGATACAATGTACTTGCATTAACATACTAGGAGATGCAACAGTAAACACAGTATACAAACATTTGATTAATTGGTGAATAAGCTTGAAATACTCTAAGTATGGTAATCAATAACTAAGTTGTATTTTACGAAATGCTCAACATAACTTTATTTATAATACAAAACAGAATAGCACTTTTGTAAGTAACTGTACCTACTTAACAGTATCCATAACCTTAAAATGTTTACAGTTAATGTAAACAAAACACAAGTCAAAACAATAAACCCCAGAAATATGAATGAAAGTTAACTCCACAGCATCTGGTATCAAATAAATAGAAAACACTGTTTGTTCAGTACAGTTCTATATTCATTTGAACTGTATTTTCTGACTAGATAAACAATATGTATAGTATCATACACTTCATAACCAGCTACAAAACTAATATAGCATGTAACAATGAAAAATGTTCAAAGATCTCACTATAGCTCAGCAGTTAACCCTGTTAGAGTTACTTAAAATAATAGATTATTCTAAATTATGATTATATCTATTAATCTCATGAAAATATTTAATTAATCAAAACTAGTGTTATCAATTATACTATTTTAATTATTACAACTATTCAAGTCATATGTAAGAATTATCAATTAGTTGAATGTAATTGATTGATGTGACCTACAATTAATCAATTAGCAAATTCCACTAATCACCTAGCTCTATCTCGCTCAATCAGCACGTGCTGATTGAGTTTAAGTACTAAGTCTAATTGACAATGTCTTAGATCTAAGACATTGTCAATTAGACTTAGTACTTAAACTCAATCAGCACTCTAAGACATTGTCAATTAGACTTAGTACTTAAACTCAATCAGCACTCTAAGACATTGTCAATTAGACTTAGTACTGAAACTCAATCAGCACTCTAAGACATTGTCAATTAGACTTAAACTCAATCAGGGGAGAATTTTCTTCACAAAATATAAATGCCTTCTTTCTTACATGTAACTTTTCTGCCTTTTGTCAACTGCATTTCCTACAAAACTAAAGAAACACTCACTGATGGCAGACAGAAACCTTTGTAACATTTCTTCCAAAGCTGGAAAACATATTTAACTGGTTTTCCAGAACAGAAGTATGTCTTCATTTATAAACGAGTGAGCCAACACTAGGCAACTTTTCATTTGTGACACAATATTTCTGCTTGCACTGTTTCCACTGCTGTCCCTGCAAGTTTCATGTAGATTCTACTAAAACATGGAAAACAAGATCAACATGTATGCATCAGACTGGTTCCTCACATAGGTTCTGATGTAATAGAATCAACTATTTAAGCTGAATGAGTAACATTCACATTGCTTCAACTTTTGTATTCTCATTCATGTGAAAAAAAAAAATACCCCTTATACCTTGGGTCCAGAAGTGTGTAGCTATATAGTAAAACAGCTTTGACTCAATATTCTCAAAGAGCTTTTCACAGCTTATAACAGTGCTTTTCATAGCACTGACATCACTTTCCACATCAGATACTTCATCAAAAAGCCCTTTAAAAGCCATGATGCATGGAATCACACCAGGTACTGATGATGCCGGAGAAGATCTTATCAATTGTTTAAGTGGTGCTAGATCATGAATCACCTTTCCTATAAGTGCTCAATGAGATGCAGTTAACTTTGCAGAAAGCTCAAATTCTTCAGCATGTGCACCAAGAGCCATTTCATTTTAATAAAGAGTTGCCAGCACATAGTATGTTCTACACTATATGCACAGTACATGGCACACTACTGTAGTTAATCCTAAATCAGTCAATGTTTTCAAAATATTTCTTCCACTGTCTATACTATTACATGAACTTTCCACTCTGGCATTTTTCTAAGTTTTGAGCTTATTGTCAAAAGTCTGATACAGTTTCTGAAGTGTTGGAGCCATTGAATTGACAGGCGTGGAGCACAGCTTGCCATAACTGGTGTGTCTTGTAAATCAACTGAAAAGTTAATCTGAGAAGCAAAGTGTCAAAGGTCCATTTTATAACTTAGAGCAAAGAATATTTTTTTTAAATAAGTTTGAATACACATTGAAAAAAAAGTTGTATATATTTGTGGTAACCTTTTGTTAGGACAGATGCTTTCTCTCTGACAGTGTAAAATCTGGATCCAGACCTTAAAGTAGTCATCATAATATAACAACATTGACAACAGAAACAGGTCTATCCTCAAGAGCTATAAAATCAACCAGACATTTATTAACATCTTCTACCTTAGGGTCCTCTTGATCAAGGAATTTTGAAAATTTTCCAATTGTGTTAAAAGGTGTGTTTGCTCGGCAGACATTTGAAGATAGTTCTAATCATTCAAGGGTTCATCAGGCAGCATTCCAACAGTTTTGGAAAATTTATAAGTAGCAGCTCCCCTCATGCATTGGAGCAGACCAATTACGATCAAGCACAGGGAGGTGCATTTAATAGTAGCATTGCTTAAATAAAATGTACTGAATGCCTAGTTTAAAAGACATTTGGGAAGCATTAAGGTAGAATAAGTATGAAATATAAAGTATATGCTAACACTAATAATTTCAATGTTGATAAAAAGAGCACCATTGTAACTCTACACTTCATCCCTTCAGGTGTATGTTTAGTTAATCAGCAATATATTAAGAAAAATGGGGAACTGATAATAATACTTGTAACTTTTTGCTGTTTATTATTATATGTATTAGATATGTTTAATCAATAGTTTTATGTTAAAAAGACTAAGAATGTTAACCTGCTTGGAATAGTGACTGTTATATAAAGACTTGTTTAGTTTAAATCAGCTGCAATTCTTTTAATTGGCTGCTATAGGGGGATATTGCAATGCAAGCTTATTGTATCAAGTATTGCACATAGTAACAAATACACGTATGTAAACATGTATTTTTTTTCTCAAAATACAAGAACATGATTACTGTTCTGTATAATGTATCTTCACACTACATGTGAAAGCATTAATTCATTTATACAGATTATCTGCAAAATGGTTTTCAATCAAATACAAGCTGGTACTTTTACTAACAATTAGTAAATTGAGCAAATTAATACAATTAATGGTTCAAACTAAGCCTGCAACCTGATTGAAATATCAGATTGGTGCCAACGAGTCCAAGATTTATCATATCAGGATAAGACTTTTTAAAATCTGCATCTGTGTGTTCTGCATGTCCATATATCCCTATGGTATGTATATTAGTGGTGTCTAGCTTCAAAATTTGTCTTCAAATAAATCATGCACTTATCATACTACAAAATGGACACATTTTCATCAGAATACAAAACAAGTGTATATTAGATGAAATTGAAGGACTCTTACATTAATTTTCCTCTAAACTTTTAAACATATCAAGAAACAAATCCTCATTTTGGGATACATTGCACACTCTCCACCTCCAAATTGCCTTAATGTATTGTGTATTTTCATAGGCACACATACTTATGGATCTAATCTTCTTAAAATTGGATGACTCAATATCAGCAGCCGATATGGAGACTGGTCTCAGGCTTAGTTCAAACCTTAGTTTGGTAACGTGTTCTGAACCTTCAAAAGTCAACTTCTACCCCATGTTGCAGCTCTACAAAAATTTATGACATTGTAATAATGTCAGTTGGTTCCTTGCATTTTGTTTGAAAGATTTAGTCTCTGCTTCTTTCTCACTTAATATTAACTTCTGATCAGAGCAAGCTAATTACACTTAGACTAAAAACTGTTGGGAGAAACTTCATATTCAACAGTACGTTGGGCTTTTAGATAATTTACTAAATTAATAATAATCTTCTGAATTATGACCTTACTGAAATCTACAATTTTAAAGTAACTGCAAATAGTGCTCTTAATGAGCAAGTTTTGGTTAGTTTGATTTCACTGTTTGAGTAGTCACTCTGTGCTTCATCTCAGTGATGTACCAAAGCCAATGCTGAAGTTATTAGTATTACTAACAAACAATATAGGGTGCTACTATAGCATGCAGTCTACACAGATACTATCATCATCATCACCAATTCTAATGATTCACTAAAACATCATTTCTTGCTAAATAATTTATATCTATCCACATATTTCTTAAGCAAATAATAATAATTTAATAAGTTGCGTGTTCCAAAAGAGTATCTTAAATTTAGGATATAACTGTCATATTCTTTCATTGTTGGAATTGATTTCATTCCAATTATATTTGCCCCAAAAATATTATGTAATGGTATTTTGTATTTTATTAGTTTAAAAGCATTATTTATAATAAATGGTGCCAATTGCAAATAAACAAAAGTTAAAATGGTGATGATTATAGTATCTGTGTAGACCACATGCTATAGTAGCACCAAATATAGAATATTAGTATTACTGCATGTGCAAGCTGTATGGCATGACAAGTTATGGTTGTAACACCAATTTAAATCCTGAGAGGTAGGGAATACTGCTGAAAAAAACATCTTTAAACTAAAATATAAACAATTAATTAAATTAGAAATAACAATCAGTTTTCTGATTATATGTATTTTTCACTTCACTATATTTCAAAGTTTTGGTTGAGTTCAATGATTGAATCCAGCTCATCACAGTATCAACTCATTTAGTGTTTCATATGTAGAATTTCAGTACAGTGCTGATCATTTTACAAATTCAACTAAAACAAAACATTGCTCAAGTTTAAACTTTTTGAAGGGTTAAAATTCAATGACATTAGCAATAACTTTTTGGGTGCCTGGTCATGAACAGCAATAGCCAAGAATGTTTATGAAAAATGCCCTCATAATTCCATTCCTGGTAACAATAGACAACATATAAAAAAAAATACCTGTGTAAAACTGGCATCAGGAACACATCTCATTTAGATTATTAATTTACTAAATCTAAATAATTAAATAAAATTACAACAGTCGAAACTGTGAACTGATCAACCAGAACACCAAAATCCTTTTCCTCCATAACATTGTTATTTGCATTAAAATTATACTTATAATTCAAATTATGTTGGTCCATGTAGGCCTTCCTGTTTTCTTAGCTTCAGAACAAAACACTCAACGCCAGCCTTCATAATTCAAATATTTATCAAGTCTTCCTTAAATTTAATGATTATATCACATATGAAGGCAACCCATTCCAAAGGCCAACCACCCTAGTAGAAAAATAAAACTGTCGTAGCTAAAGATGATTCCTAACATGCCAAAATTTGTGTGTCCTCCCTATTCTAACTATTTTTACCATTAAGTACAAAAACAATATCAGTTCCCTTAACAATCTTAAACATCTCAATCAGATCTCTTCTAAATTTTTTTTCAAGAGTAACTGCTTTCAGAATCCTTAACTTGTTCTCATACAACAACCTTTCTATTCCAGGTATCATCCTAGTAAATCTCCTCTGAATTTTTCTAAAAATTCAACATCCTTTCTAAAAAGTCCAAGACTGAACACAATACTTTATATGTGGCCTAACCAGTGACCTATACAATGAAATTATTATCTATTTTTAAACTTGTATTCAATATTTCAGTAGATATAAACTGTAATCAAAATGCACAGTTGTGTGTCGTGCAGCCAAAACAACCCGCACCATAAACTATATTATTAACAGCAGTGATGATTTAGCAATTTTCCACTTTCTGTAGGTCAGACTGTGATAATCCAAACTATCCCATATTATCAGTGGAAGTGTTATAGTGGATCCTTCCTTCACATATCAAATTCCAAGGCAATCCATTAAGAAACAAAGAGATATAAAATCTCCAATTTTGATTTCATTCCTTTAAGTTGCATGCTTAATCCTTTTTTCTTTGCCGCACCTTTTTTTCATAACTAAGGTGTTTTTAATTAGATCCTATTTGCCCTGACACTATCAAAAGCACTCTTCTCAGATGGCTTAAGACATTGATCAACCAGAACATTAAGATCCTTTTCTTCCATAACATTGTTAAGGCTATTTCCATCAAAATTATACTTGAAATTCAAATTATATACCACATGAGTTATCTTGCATTTATTATAATTAATCTGCCATTTATTGACTTAATTTGCCAAATAATCCAAATTATTTTGTAAAGCAACAACATCCTCCTCATAGCCAGCAACATCTAAAGCCTAAATATCATCAACAAATTAAAATAATTTATTGACTATTCCTTCATCTGTATCATTAATGTGAACCAAAAAGAGCAAAGGTCCTAACACTGAGCCCTGAGGTACCTAAACTGTGACATTAATCAAGTTTGACTGAATTCCATTTATAACAACTGTGTTTTCTTCCATCCACAGTTTTCTATCCAATGAGCCAACCTATCCCCCACACCTGCAGAAATAATTTTAAGAAGCCTCTTATGTGACACCACATCAAAGATTTTCTGAAAAGCCAGATACACCAAATTCACACCTACATCTTCATCTACGTTAGCAATAACCTCTTCAAAAAGTGTTAAAAATTCAAAAGGGCAATATTTACTTTACGGAAACCATGTTGATTATTCAAAAAAATTTGAACCTTTGTTGACTTTACAAAGCATTATTTATCAGACTATAGAAAACTTTCCCAACATTGATGCAAGACTAATAGACCTATAATTATTGGAACAATTCTTATCACCTCCCTTGAAAAGAGGAGTAACATGTCCCAATTGTTTTTTTAACAAGCTCAGGATTAATGTGGTCATCTTGTTCAATATTATTTACATCTAACAACAGTTCAGAATGAGGAATATTTCTTACATCTTTATTAATAAAAGTTGAAGAAAGAGTAGAATTTAATAACCCAGCCATCTCATAATAATCATACATGAGCCTTCCTATATCATCCATTAATACATTGTTTTCCAAACTGTAGGGTGCTCCCTCTGGGGGCACATCTTTTTGGCAGGAGAGACCAAAAATAATGACAGAAGAAACAGAAGAGTTAGAGATGATAATAACCTAACAAAACTATCACTCTGCTCACAAAGCCTTCTTTTGCTCTTGCATTTACTTACTCCTTGCAAACATTTCTTTATTTGAAAAACAAATGATTAAAAACAGGTAAAGAAATGTTAATTTTGCTGTTATTGTTTGCAAGAATTATTTTAACATGAAGAGGTGGGGCTCAATAGACACTTTGCTGAGTTAGAGGGTGCTGCTATTTAAGGTTTGGAAAACACTGCCTTAATGTATATAAAGAAATTCTTACTCTCAAAATTTAAATTTTAAGCCAACCTTTTTTTCACATATTCTTTGCAGTTTCCCAATTTCCTGTTTGACTAACTCTAGATCTTCTAGAAACTTCTTGGTGACAAATGACAAAGAACTGCTGATTACAGATTATTGTATTTTAATTAATAATTGGAACTACTCTGATTTCCAGGGTACCTAACCAAAACTGAAAACATTATTAACAACATTACTAATTTAATATTCAAGGCAGTAGGAGTTGGGACATTGTGGGTTCAAGCACTCAACTCCCAACCCTTAACTGATTCTCCTTAGTTGCTGGTGAGTTTTACATCAGCATAGGGATCTTGTCTAATATTGATACTGATATATAGAATGTTCTCAACACGCTATAACCATAGACATTATCCATTATGACTTAAAGATGACAACAAGAAATGGTAATGGAAGAATTATTTTGAATTTTAGTCTCACCATAATGTTATTTTTGCTTTTGTAAGAGCATTATTGTTCTATAAATTAGCGCTGATTTTAATTGCCTGTGGACAATTAATGTATTTCATACTCATATTCATAACTCAGTGCCACTAACAGCATCACATTAATAAATGTCAGTATACTATAACATTCAGTCGTACTAACTTAGGCCTAAGTAAGTCAAATTACAATTTCTTTTAATTTGTATTACCTATTAATTTCCCACATTCACTTAACTTCAACTTAAGTGCTTAATCTCTCTCACTCTCGATAGCAGTTTGTACTACATATGGCTTGTTACAAACATTCTCTAAAATAATAACATTAACCTATAACACATACCTAGCTTCACTTCAGTATGTAGTACTAAAGTGCCAGTGTTTGCAATAATATTAACTTAGCTTCTGTACCACAGACTAGACCTAACACACATTCCACTAACATGTCGTACCCTACAATTTTCTGGAATAAAACCTTAATAAAACCCAATATCAATTGCCATCTAGCGATAGAAATTATAATAATACTGATGTTTAAATGGACGATCGAAAGTATACTTGAATTATGAACATCAACAGTGCGAAATGTATAGCTCTTTCAAGTCCTTTGGTAGGTAAATTAATTTTTGCAGAATTTTAATTCATTCATTTGTCAATTAATAAGTTAAGTTTCCGCATTAAAATGCAATAAAAGAAATTGTTTGATTACAATGGCTTATGCTTCGGGAAAGCTATTTTAACTTTTCCTTTTGCTTTGTTATTTAGTTTGATTATTTAATGCGATACACAAAAAACACTAAGAATGGCAAATGTATCTAATTTATTGCACTGCCCTGATTTTTTACCATCTTTTAGAATAAAAATATTTTATTGTTTTCTTATGCTTTCTTATTCAGCTTCATTGTTTAATGTGATAAGCTAGCAATGCTAACAGTGGCTAAATTTAACTCATTTATTCTGTTACGTGCTTTTGACAATCGTTTAAAATGAAGAAAAAACGCTTAACATATAGTCTTGATTCAAAACGAAAAGAAAATTTTGTATATATCCTATTTTTTTTAATACAGTTTCGTTCCGAATTAATTCCATAATCTCTGTTCCAGTTTCTCTTTGACATCATGGATTGTCTTCAACATAAATACATTTTTATATTATAATTTATTATTTTAGTATTATTATTGATTTTGAGTTATATATTTATTGTACCAGCTTTCACACAGTAATTTTAAACCGTATCCGCAAAATGTTTAAGCAATTTGTTCAATTGATCAGAATTCATGAAGTATTTTGACCACAACTTCACACTATAATTTTACCTTAAATTTATTTCATTTGGAAGTTTTCGTTTAGCCCTCGGTGGGACAGCGGTAAGTTTACGGCCTTACAACACTAAATTCTAGGGTTCGATTCTCCGCGGTGGACACATTAGATAGCCTAGGCATAACTTTGCCCTAAAACAACCAACCAAATGGTTTTATTGTATCTAGTGTGTTGAACCAATCATATATTTTAAGAACAATATAAACATTAAGTGTAATTATAAAGTAAAGTTAGCACTTTTCAACTAAATCTTTACAGATTTATAGAACAAATATTTATTGTTATTACTATTTCAACACGTGAAGAAAAAATGGTGTAGAAATTATTTACAACAAAATTCTTTCCAATCTTTAATTAAAATTTAAACTTACTTTGTTTCCTGACAAAGTTTCCGAGTTTTAGCGCTATAAATGCTCACCACCAGAGAAGAGAGGAGGGGTTTTTATACATATAAAACAATCTGTATTTCTAGAACATTAATTACGAACTTTCCATCAATATCATTGAATGTTTTAAAACAAAATCGTAAGAGTTTAATCATGAAAAGACATTTATAATACACAACTGTACCATTCGCTTAGTTATTATAATTTTGTTTTTAAATTTCTGTATTTTCTTTCAGTAAACAACTCAATATTTGATTCTTTGGTGCATATGAGATATGGATTCACTAACTGGCAATTAGTAATGATTTCTCCCAAGACATATATGTCTCCTTACGTTTGAAGATAGATGGTTCTGTTTTCATGAGCTGTTTTGCCATCAGACGAGACAGCGGGGCACTCGCTAAGGAAACTGGCGATCGTTGGATCGTTGACTCTCCATGCTAGATAGTACTACCAAACTAAGAACCAGGCAAGAAGTGCCACTAATTGATGATATCCGCCGAAAGAAATTATTTTGCCAGCATATGAAATGGAGGGCACTCGTGCAGAAAATTGCAGAGAGCTTCTCCATGAAGGGTGGTGCACAGCACCAGCTCTTCCAGCAATTGAAGTTTACTAGCAGTTAAGTTGGTGGGCATTTGGAGGTAAAGACAAGTATGATTTGGTGTGAGGAATAGAACCCCTCCGTGAAGAGAGGTGAATAGCTGATAAGATGAGAGTCATGAGCAAGAGGACATTGGTGGATAACAACTACCAACAGGAGCTGCATAGATGGCAAACAAGACAGCGAGTACTCGCTGATTATGATAATGATCAATGGGAGACGAGGGAGCCTCTTCATGAAGAGAAAAACCTCGGTGCTCCAAAAGCCAGGAGTGAGACTCTGTTGGTGGATAAATTCCAACAACATGAAGTGCATTGCCAGCCAATGATACTGTGGGCACTCGTGTAAGAAGAGGATAAATTGTGGAGCAACAGAGACCCTTCCTGAAAAGAACAACTGAGGAAACCATGGGCTCTAGGGTGAGCAGAGGTTGGCAAGACTCATTGATGATATGGGGTTAGTATCTCGTCATTCTGTGGAATATCCCAGGAAAGTGTGATGCTTCCTAAGCCTATTTATTCGAATGGATTTTATCATACCAGCCTGTTCAGATTGGATTGAGACTTTAGCCCTCCCTCCTTCCCTAGAGGGAGATCTCCACATAATGAAGGTGAAGCATATCACTCTTTTGGTAGTTAAAAGGGCATCTAAACAGGATATGGGCTGTTTCAAGTCATTGCATGGAATCCACGGTTTTAGAAAGAAGTGATGCAGTATCTTCAGTCTGGATGGTTCAGTCCTTGATAGTTTCATGTATCTGACAAAGTCATAGTGAAGCTGTGTTTATGATTCAACCCAGTGGAAAACCAAGCTGTCCACTGGCCGAGATTAAGACTTGCAAGTGAGGGCCCTCTGAAAATTTATGTACCTTTACAGGTTGTTTGTGTCATTTGCTCAGGAAACCTAGTCAAAAATGTCATCGACAGAATACGAGTACTTCCCCATTAAAAATTTCATTGAGGGACAATCAAGTGAGATTATGAGGCATCACTTGGCGGTTTGAGATATGTTTACCCTGCCAGAAACAGTATCTGTGGCAAGGAGGTTTGAGGATGCCACTTCAGACAAGTCACAAGAGGGAGGAAGAAACTAACAGCAACAGCACTCATTGTGCTTCCAGATATGATCTGTCCTGCTCAAACCAGTGACTATTAGTAAACTTGAGTTCCAGCAACAACTGAACTTCAGTCAGTACCTCCCACTGTCATGGCATAAATGAGCTTATTTCCAGTGGATTAGTAGGGCTCTCTAGGCTTTTGCTGTTGTTTGTACAACGAAAATACAATAAAGGTTTCTGCCTGGTTGTCATTCCTGAAGAGAGAACCCAATCATATGCTAAGTGTGAGAGCTACAAGGACATTTCCACGCAAATTGCCTCTTATCTTGGTATGCAGCAAGATAGATGGATCCCTCCATTTCAACTATCTGCCCAATAGATGCAGGAGGGCTGGAATCGAAGTGTTACTGCTGTTGCTCAAGCTTCAAATAAACTATTATGGATGATTTGATTGGCAATCTAGCTTTCTACTGGAGTAGCAAGCAAAGTGGATGTGACTGGTACCAGCTGTAATGCTAGTGTTGATTCCATTGCACAACATTTGAATGCACATACTTGGCTACCAGCACATCTGAGGTCTTTAGTTGAATCAAAGTCTCAATGACCTTCTGATATGTGCTGATGCATTTGTTGGGCAGGGTAGATGATTGGAGAGAACTAAAATATTTCACAGCCACGTAGAAACAAAGGATGTATGTGAATAAGTAACTATGAGCACCAACAGAATAAATTTGATTTCATTAAGGTCACCTAACTTTACTTTGCTGCGATGCCAACTATCACGAGTGGATTGACTTATGTAAGGTGATACAGTGATTCAGGTGGTAGCTATTCCAAAGAGTAAATGATGTACAAGGTAGTGACAGAATGAATATTAATACTGGCAACAATATTTTTAGCTCATTAGTATACTTTAGCTAAATTACACCAGGAATTATTTATTTCACAAAGTCTATAAAACACTGTGTGTTTTCACAACTCACAAATGGAGGAAAATTAGTGACCCGTGACTATTCACAAATAGTTTATGTAAGTAAGCCATGTAGTTTGCTGTAGTCATGATACACACACCTGAGGTGTCTGTCAAAAATTACTTGTGTGTAGGTGGCGATGTGTGAAAGCTAGAAGCATATATGTATTACAGTATATATTTGTGTGAGGTTCTGCAAAAATGTATGAAACTTTACGCAGAGCCATTCAAGAGTGTTGTGTAAAACGAAATAATTCAGTCACTAAGAACACCATCAGGGAAACCTTTGAAAGAGAAAATGAGCATTTATTTGATCATAATCTTAAGAACTCCAGTTATTCAGTTAATTGTGGTTAATGGTCTGTAAAGTATTAATTGAATAAACATCTGTGAGAAGATTTTCACATTGAAATATTCAGCAGGTAGTGGATTTTATGGTGAAAAATTATTGTAACGAGTACGTTCACGCCCAATTGCAATAAAACAAAATTTTAAGTGTGTTTTACTAGTGTCGGCATAATCATATCAGTGGGTTTGAATTGAAATGTAAATGAGTTAAGTGAAATTTTATATGAGAAGTAATATTACAGACCAAAAGAAATGTAAGTGCGGTGTACCCAATATTTTAATTGAAAATATGTGAAGTATTTTTGATCATGCAGATTGAGATATTTCAAAATCACACAGTTTCTGAATATATTCTTAACAGTTTTTAGCATGTAACACTAGATGTGAGAAGTAACAAACCCCTTTCTGTGAGGTGTAGCTCTTCTCCTCCGTAATCAAAGAAAGTCACAAAGGAAACAAGATGTAGGCATTAACGAATTTCCACATTATAAAGAACTAAGTCATTGTCCGAGTGATATTTGATATATGTTAGTCACCAGTGTGGATATCTACTTTACAATTTCACTCCCCATTTCTTTCCTACTGAACGCAAGCCCTATTTCTATAACAACCAGATAGTAGTGAAAGGAATGTGTTGGGGTTACAGGATAGTTGTAGATCATCGTCACAGCTATGATGACCTTGGAGAACACAGGTGAAGTTTAGGTTAAGCTCGAGACCCAAGAATGCCTACATCAACTGAGTTGTCCACAAGTGGTAGGGATCATGCTTA